AGGCTGAGCCTGATGGCAGCGGGGGAAGCCTCTCGGACAGGCGTACTGCTCCCATTAGCTGAAGTCATGTGCTTCGGCGAGCATGCATTTCGTGCTTTTCGTCTCGTGCAACGCAGCTTTTTCCAGCGACCAGCTGTGCTCAAGGGCGTGTGGCATCTCGCCTTGTCCATTTGCAGCTCTCTCTAAGGCGAGCCGCAGTGGCTGGCCGGCCAGCCGATAAGCCTTTATGGGATGGTGATCTTCGTGCCAAGCGCTTCGGGAGCGTGATTCGCCGTCTTTAAAGAGATGGCGCCGCGATGCCGGCTTCGCCAGCCGAGGAGACTTCTCCGCAAAACGCGTAACATGCCCCACGCCCATGTGGGAGAAGCTGACAGAGACAGTTTGGGGTGTTACCAACAAGTCCCGCGCCCGCGTGGGGGGGAGCTGACAGAGACAGTTCGGGGGTGTTACCAACAAGTCCAGCGCTCGCGTGGGAGGATATGACAGAAACACCTCGAGGTGTGATCGACAAGTACCGCACCCGCGTGAGAAGAACTGACAAAGACAGCTCGGGTGTCACCCACAATTCCTGCGCCCGTGTGGGAGAAGCTCACAGACACAGCTCGGGGTCCTACCGACACGTCCAGCGCCCGCGTGGGAGGAGCCGACGGAGACAACTCGGGGAGTTACCGACAAATCCACTCCGGCGCCGCGCGTCACACCAGCCCGGCGTGGGGTAAGCTCGCGCTAGAGCTTCGCCGGCAGGTCCGCAGCGCCGGGCTGGCCGCCCGCGCGGCCGACCAGCGGCGGCCGCGGCGTCCCGTACGGTGGCAGCAGCCGGGCCCGCTCGTCGCTGATCGCTTTGTAAACGGCTCGGCCGCGGTCGACTCGCGGATGGCTCCGTCTCAGGCCGCGGTTCGAGCCCACGCCGGCGGAAGGGCCAGATATGATAACGGGCTGAGCAACGACCTGATCGCCTGCTGATGTGGCTTAATGATCTCGCTTCGAACCATCGCGCAGCTGGCGCGGTCATCGACACGACCATCCGGCTCGACCTCCGCTTGCTGCGGGCTTGGAACGGACCCATTAAGCGCCGCGCCAACCTGCTCGGGCAGGTCCGGGTGTCGCATCAGCCCCCTGGTAACGAGAAGTTGGGGCCGACGCCGGCAGACGGCAGGTCGGATTACGCGCTACAATTACCCTGTTTACATGGGCAGCTGTGATTCGAATTGAGCCGGGACCCATCCTCGATCCGAACTATCCGGCCCATGTATACACTCACGCGCCGTTCCGCTGATTCGAATCGTGCGCCGGAGGAAATCCCTTCCCGTGAGAGGATCATCCGTTCAGGAAGGGATTTCGTCCGAATTATCGGCCGTCAGCTGTCTAAACAAAAAAAAAAAAAAGAAAAATGCCTGGCGCACGCAGGTCCGTTCATGGCCATTTCAGCTTTGTTTGGTGTTGCCGCTTTTCCACGGGTTTTTAGCTATTGCTCGAGACGGTCCAAGGCCAAGATGGTAAAGGAAAAGAGAAAGAAGGTGAAGTTGACACCATGCTGCTAAAACTACTCTTATTACTGAGGGCCTTGAGTGGCTAGCAGCACAGAAATGCTCACGTAATTTAGCCTTGCTAGGCGCTTGATCTATGCAGACAGCAGGCGTCGGCGGTGTTTGGTGTTATCTTTCCGCCTAAAGGTTAGATTAATTTACATCTGGGGCAGGCTCCATGCTTCCGGAAGCCGGACGGAGGTAATATGGTAATTTTATATAGCTTTGACTTGTTCTCACTTTAATTTTTGGATTGCTCAAATTCTTGCAGAGAATGCCTCGAAGTTTCTTTCATTAAGTTAATACCTGAAGGCCCCAGGAGTGTTTTTGCAGATGTTCCTTAAATTAGGATGCTGTTTGCTTGTCAGTTTAATTTGTGTGAGAAAGCTAGCTTAAAAATTGCTGCATGATATGATGGATGAACAAATATAGATCATTGCAGTCAGCTCGGAATGTGAACTTTTTTAATGGTAGGACCGAAATTGCCCAATGACGGGGTCAAAACAGCAAGAAAGCAAATGTGAACACTGGATGAAAATAGTTGTCATCATCACTCTGCCAAATCCAAGTTTGTGTGTTTCATGTGCAGGAAAACGGTGCATAAACTAACACCTAACATGATGTCACATGCTGCATGGAGAACACGTCTGTGTTGCATATCATCACCTGTTTTTGTACTGGTGATTTAACATGTCACCTAGGTGCTTTTTTGTGACAGGTGTCTTTGTAGGCCATGAGGTAGGTAATTCAACTGTTCAACAATTCTTGCAAGGAGTACCAATAGTTTCTTTCATTAAGTGAATACATAAATGCCCCAGGATTGATCTTGCAGACATCCCTCCTGTGACATGAACATTTGGTTGACCACCTATTGGCAGGAGGGATGTGCTGGATATTGGTGACTGGCTCATCAAGGAAATATGAAGTTACATCACACTGGTAGACCAACTGGCAAGGAAGCGGGGGCTGGAATATTTGTTTTTGATGTGATTAAGCTGTTTGCTGCTTGTCAGTTTAAGGTGTGTGAGATAGGTAACTCAATAATTCCTGCATGATGCAAAGGATCAACAAATATAGGCAATAGATCATTGCAGTCAGTGCAGAATGTGAACTATTTTTAATGATGGGACCAAAATTGCCCAGTGATGGTTCCAGAATGTCAAGAAAGCAAATGTGAGCACTGGATGAAAACAGCTGTCATCAGTACTCTGTCAAATCCAGGTTTGTGCATTCCATGTGGAAGAAAACTGCATAAACTAAGTAAACCTAACATAATGTCGCATGATGTGCAGAGAACATCTGTGGTGCACATCATTACCCGTTTTTGTACTGGTGAGTAAATATGTTTCCTTGGTGCTTTTTTGTGACATGTATCTTTGCAAACCATGAGGTGGATAATTGAGCTGTTGTTATAATTAATCATTTGTTATGAATTTTGAGCCCAGATTGCTTTTGTCATGACAGCTCTGGGGCTGGTTCACATGTTATGATCTTTGGACTGTGCAAACACAGCTATTTGTGCCACCTAGCCATCAGTCCATATCAGCCAATGCTGTTGACTGCAAGGATATCAAAGCAGTATTTCAACCCTAGTATGTCAAGAAAGCAAATAGCTGCATGCTGACTTGCCAGTGCATGCCAAGTCTAAATGGCAATCCTGCCCTCAGGTACTGATGATGCATTGGATGGGGAAAGACAACATAGTTACACAATTTTTGCCACTAACTACGTAGCATTCATGAGTCATTTCTGTAGCTAATGACACTCAAGGTGACGTCCATTCCTGCTGATTGCTTGAACTGCACGGCACCGGTGTCTAGCAATACCCTGCTCAGCTGAAATGCAATACGAAGATGACGTACTTGTCCTTCTGTGCGATCTTTGCTGGAGTGTGACCTCACTTGGGTGTCTTTGGAATCAAAAGTAGAGTACGCTGCGTCAGCACAGATCCGCATGGTTCTTACAACCTTCGCAGTGAGCCGGTAAGTCCTCTCGCCTGTGGTGTTCCCACCGGCAGCCGGGGTACTTCCTCCCCTGCAGGGGCTTGCGACGTTGCGTCCCCCCCCCCTCTCCCGTCCCTTGGCGACAGCATTCTTTTGTTGAGCTCGGCACCGCTCGGAAAGTTTTGCCGATCATGACCACCTGGAGCTTAAAACCAACCCTCGCTATCTCAGGACTAGACGTCTGTCAGAAGAACTTAAAAACGGCGAACAATAGCCAGTTAGTATTACTCGGGCACCGTTAAAGCGACGTTTGCCGTGAAATCGATGACGTCACACGTCGAGCGATGTATCTCAACAAACATATGCATTTTGGACGACCTCAGGGCCCTTTGGCGTTCATCAACAACTGTGGTGTGTCTCTGCACCGGACGCCAAACGAAAATGCATATTCTTGCGCGTCAGGATCACAACTCAATGTTAATAAGGATCAAGTTAGGTCAAGGTCTGGCCGGGTCATTCGACATTTGTATGTTCTCCAACCCATATGAACCACGGTGAAATTCGTTTCAAAATGCAACAGTCGTACCGAATTGTTCATCGCAGATGGGCATCACAAATCACTGGGTTCGAAACTGGTCCTTTACTCGGATTTGTCATAAATTTTGTGGTGTCCCAAATTTTCATCGGACCCCAAAAAGGCATGGTCTCATGCATTCTTCACGCATTCACCGGGAGTCATCCCCCACGCATCCCTCTGGATCTGCTCCTATCTTGTGGCGTCCCTAGAATTGGATTCCCCAAGAAAATAATTGACGTGACGGCCAGCAGTTGAGGCCTCTGGACTCCTCTCGTGGAACGGGCTGATCTAGAAATTCGGCAGAGTTACAGGCGCAGATAATATGGTATAAAGGCTATGGCGCACCAAAATGAAGGTTTTGTTGCCCGCTGCCCATGGGGGCCAATCCAGGATACTTTGTTCAGGATTTTCATCCAGAATGTCTTGCAGCAACGTTTTGACGATTGCCTTGCTTTCCACTTTCGACCGTTCCAGAAAGCGTGTAAATCTGCCGTCCAAAGGCAAAACCCCATTTGCCATTTTGCGCTTTTTACGTCATCTGACTCATCTACTCATGCTGATCTCGAGTAGTTAAACAATCATTTGAAATTGTCACATTCTTTTAGCTAAAAGTGTGTGGAAATCCAGCTATTGGTTTCAATGTCCGAATGCGGTATGAGAAGACGAATCAGATGACATAAAACACGCAAAATGGCTGGAAACGAACATATGGGGTTTTACCTTTGGACGGCAGACATACTTCCGTGCTGAGTGTACGTAACAGGCCGCGTACAGCAGACGGCCAGCTATCTGGCTGCCGGGGGTAGCCAGCGACGTTCACCGAAAACCGCGCAACATCGGGTGGATTCGCAAAAGCAGATAGCTAAGCACGGTTTGAGCATTCACAGTATTCGCATTCACCGTCATTTCTTCACTCTCCATCATATTTTGCACGTTCAGAGCAAAACCATTTGCTTAAAATAAAGTTGCTAGTGTATTGTACAGCGTTCTCACGACAAAAATATGCATCTACGGCGAAATCGAGGATGACACACTTCAGAGAGAAGTACCCTTCTTTAACATAAATGGAACAATTATGGTACGGCTTCATTTGGACATTTCGTCGCCCAACAGGTACGACACTACACCTTCTGATTGGCAAGGTAATAGACACCCCAAAACGTGTCCAAACGTCGTGCCTTATTCATGAACGCTTGCCCGAACAGAGCCATCGTTCACACCGTTTTGCCATTGCCGTTCGTGGCACCGCTGATGCCGGGATGCTCAGGACTGTGCTTCTGCTTCTTTTTCTTTTTCTCCTTCTTCTTCTTCTTGCGCTCCTTCTCGTCGTCGTTGCGCTTCTTCTTGTGCTTCTTCTCGGGCGGCTCGCCGGCGTCCGTGCCGTCCTGCGAGGACGTGTCGCCAGCGCGGTGCTTGTGTTTCTTGTGCTTGTGCTTCTTCTTCATGGGCGCCTGGCTGGTGAAGCGGTACTGCTCGGGCAGCTGGCGGTGGGAGGGGCGCTGTGTGAGGTCGCGCTCGCGCCGCGCCAGGTCCGGCTCAGCCCGCCTCGCACCCGTCCGCTCCCATCAGCCAGGCGGCGGCGACGGCCACCAGCCGCCGGCGCACATCAACAAGTCGGGAACACTTAGTCAATTAGAGGCCGACCGGACGGTGATCGGTCATCCGCCGCTGATCCGGTAATGGTAGCGATAATGTAGTGTCACGCAGCGCCAGACGGCAAGCCAAGCGCTGCTAACGGGAGTGGCATGGCACGCCACAGACCTGACAGACAACGAGAACATCACTTACATTAGTTTTATCGAAATGTCAACGAGATCTAGGATGTTTTTCGCAGGCACGATGGTACGTGTCGCGAAGGCACTTAGCGTTGCACTTAGTACTTAGCGTAAAGTTCACGACCCGGCCTTCCACCGTCCATTTCATATCTCGTCAGAAATGCTAATGTTTCGCCTCACTTCACCCCGGGACGGTAAAAAAGCTAGCTAAGCACGTTACTAATCCGTAAGAATACCTGTTACATCAGCCTAGAAATAACCTCAACCATGATCCTCGACCCCTTCCCTGTCACTCGGCTTCTCCGCGGCCGCTGCTCCGGGGCCGGGTCACACTCACAGGTCCCGCGTGCAGTCTGAAGCCGGTCAGCTGCAGATTGGTGAGCGGCACCAGCTCCTTCCCCACCACGGGTGGCTTCTCGATCAGCGACCGCAGCGAACTGCGACCAAACCAGGAACTGATCCAGGAGTCGCCACGGTAGAGCGAGGATCCCAGATCCCACAGGGCGCGGGTGGTGTTGTGGGGATACCAGAGTCCCGGCGTATGTCAGACGTGGTTGGTGTCGGCTAACCGGACGTTTGGTGACAATTTCCGGACAGAGTCGAGAGGAAGGATCGTCCCCAACTGGCCACGAAACACTTACGCATACGTAAGGCCCCTAATACAGCCGAGCTTACTGCAGCTCACGGTTTGCAGGCAATACAGCCAACCCTCAGGATGAGCTACCTGTTTACACGTACAATTGGGAAATGCGTATAGCAAAAAGCTACTCTGCAGGGACCGTGCGAACACACAATGCGATTACTGACAAATGTCACAACGTCACGTCACCCAATATCAGGTACACAAAGTGCTGATCAACACCGTGTTCAATGAATGGGACCTATTCGATTGTACATCGCGGGGCCCTTTGCAGCTCAATTGGGCCTAAGTGATCAACTGGTCTCTTTCTGGCACAACGCACAGACTAAATGGGCCAGAGGTTGGCGAAAAAGGCAACATTTTTCACAGATCACTTGGTGCGAGCCAGTAAACCAATAGCCACAGACTTCTACGAATTAGTTCATCGTTACATTCAAGGGAGTATAATACCTTGTTGGCTCTTTTCAAATTATCTCCTAGTTGAGAGGTCATTTTAGTATTTATCGTATGTTTAAAGCTAAAATTCATGTCATTTTGATGTCCACTACGTTTCATTTCCAATCAACCATAAGTAGCTTGGATAAGATAGCCAAAAAGAGCATTGCTTGTTATTTCTCTTCATTCCTAGCCTCCCCCACGGTATGGTTTTTATGACAATGTACAGGCGGGTATCGACCAACACCAGACGGCGCTGTTATCGCTTACTCATTACAACAGTATTCACGGGTGTTAGTTGACGGCTTATTGGTGCCATGTGCCGGTGTTGGTTTTTCATTACAAAGGCCTTGGGTCGGAGAAATCGGGATCAAGGTTAGATGATAACTTGGATAAGAATTTCACCAAACATGGGTAATAACGACCGTGTAATTTGGTAGCAGCGACTCAAGCGATTGTTCATGTGACAAAGGTGTGAAATCTTAAATACATTGCAATCACAAAACGGCTAGTAAGATCCTTATTCGTGCTTGTTTGAATAATTTCATGATGAATGCTTAATTTACAATAACTGTCTTCGTGATTTCAAGGTGAATAAGTTGTATGACTCAACGAAGTGCACCCAAGAGCTTTGTGCTGTATTGTTTGCAATTTTGCTGTTCGAATAGAAGAGAAGTAGGGGGCCGCTAGCATTTTTAAGTACTTGGGTACTTGTCATTGCGCGTGGAACACTTAGAGATGTTTGAGGGTGATTTACATCACTGAGAGATATTCCCCAGCCTAGTGACTGGAGTTTTACATGTTACTCATGCTCATGAGCTGAAACGTGCCTACACCTCCGTTTTTTTTGTGGGGAAAAAATCTTATACCGCCTTTAAACATATGATGGATATTGGTGAGCAAATGGCACCATTACATTGGTCGTGCATGCCCAGCACAAGACGTTCGGAAGGTTACCCAGACCGCCCTAACGACACAATAACACCATAATTTTCCTGCCATTCCACTGGCCCCGCGGCACGCAACGTTAAGGAACCACAATGATCGAATCGTTCATATCCGGCGTACGTGAGCACGGTTTCCAAATACAACTGTCGTCAGTTGGCTCTCAACCAATGTTATACAAGCTCTGCAAAAATGATCGCCCGAATTACCTTCCCTACTCGTAACACAACGCATTACACATCCTCCTAATTATTATTATATTATGTTCTTCCCATCCCTACATACATTTTTCTCAGTTATTATGGAAATAAGACTTGACCTTCAATACCTTAAGCATAGCACCATAACCGAGTATTTGGGTGCAACTCATTATCTTAAACTCACGGATAGATATGCATGAACACTGCGTAAAAGTAACGAAACATGAGTATATAACGAACTTTGTCTTAGTGAACATTTCCAGCCCATGTCGCCATCTCTCGCAAGATTGAAAAACTACAAGCGAGCGCAGTCATATCAACGTCCGTGACACAATCAATGACATATTGAACATATTTACTGAATAGAAAACTTTCGTTGTCTACAGCAGTTTCCACTCAAGAGTATGCCAATGGTAATAAGTGAGCTAATTTCATCATGCATGATGCTTGCTTCAATATCTTCAAATGTGAAACATTTCCTTCAAACATGGTATACCTACTCATGGTTCAATGACTAAAGCCTGAAGAATGTTGGTATACCTACTCATGGTTCAATGACTCTAAAGCCTGAAGAATGTATCAATGCATGCGCGGAGCTGTGAAGCAAGAGACCACCCAAACCAAGCCATTCTAGATATCCCATCTACACTCAGCGAGTGGCACATTTTGACAAAATAAGCACAGCACAGTCGATGGCTGTCAGGGCGCTGTTGCTGCTTGTTACCTGTTGTCCAAGGAACCAGGTGTGTCAATAACACCTGGAAGGTTTGTCAGGAAGGACGAAAGGGAGTCTTTCATCTTCTTTCCGGTGAACTTGTTGTAAGAATGCTCCAGATTGTGATGCGTCATAAGGTTTGTGGCTCCCGTTATTTCGTTCTCCACTGTAAAAGATGCAGGCTCTGGTGAGAAATGCTCGGCAGATGTGCTGAATATGAACATAATTTAAAAACAGTAATGCGACTCATCTGTGAGAATTCTCAAGACAGCTATTCCAAACTTCTGCGGCCATAACGCAGATTTTATGAACGCTACCAACAAGCAACTGCGATGTTTTCAAACCATCCGACTTCACGTCGAACGTTGGACAGGGCAGCGCCGAGTGCAGTGGCACGGGCCACCCGCCGGCCCCGAGCGTCCGCGCCGGCGCACGCGAGGCACGCGACCCCACCTGCCGGCTCCTTCATCAGGTAGAACGGGCCCGTGTGCACGATCGAGGCGCCCGTCTTGCCCAGCTGGATAGTGGTGCGTAGCGTGCCGGTCGAGTCCTGGCGCGGCACGGCCGGCGAGCGTACGCCGCGCGGCGAGCCCAGCGAGCCGGGCGACGGCGCCGAGTCGAGCCGCCGGAACGGCTCCGACGCCATCATCGACTCGAAGTCGGGCCCGAGGCCGACCGAGCCGAACTCAAGGCCGGCCTCGTCGGCGCCGTGCTCGCGCAGGCCCTGCTTCAGGTCGTAGAACGCCAGCGTGGCGCGCGGGGGGGGGGGGGGGACCAACCGGACGGGTTAGGCCGGCCTCACACCGGCGGACCAGCGCCAGACCGGCCGCCCGCCGTCCGGCTCAGGTACTGCACGGCCACCCGCCGCCCAGCTCAGGAACTACACGGCCAGCCAAGCGCCGGCGCAGTTACCACCTGCAATAGACAGGTTCATCAGCAAATTTGAATTCATCATGAATTTGAATACAATGTTGACTGATGACTTCCACACCATTTTCAGTTAACTTCCCCCTAAGGGCAGCGGATCGAGCTTCCAATGCCTCTTCTAAGTGAAGAATTGAGCTCCAATATCATATCCATGATTGTCCTTGCATTTTGTTATGGGCTGCTTCATCTAAGAGAAGGATAGGTTCAAAAGTGCTATGCAGTGATGCCATTTTGGGCAAGACAAATTGAATAAAAAATTGCTCTGGCTGAATAAAATTTTGAATTGAACAAAAAATTGCACCAAACAAATTGGATTCTCAGTGTTGCATCCACACCCCAAGAACTCTATGTCAGTCCAAACATTGTCCCATGTCATTTTGCTGATGAGGCATATATTTTTGGCTCAGTGCACATGGTGCATGGCAGTGCATGTGAGAACTTTACCTGCCATTCAATATATGCTTACTGTGAATATTGTCACCAGTGACCATGGGCACAGCTTGAATTATCTGATGCTGTTGATATAGCCAATGCCAGCTTGAAAACATTGCTAAACTAGCACCTCCCTGCATATTTCAAGGTTGATCCTTGTCAGAATGAGAACTCCAAACTCCCAAAGAAACAAACAGGAACCCAATGTCTTCCTTGTTGATATCAAGTAAGATGCTTCTCAAATTGAGTCACTCATGAATTAAGTTGTCTTAATTGTCCACACTGTACTGCATACTGGTGCCATTAGTTCCATCAATGGTCAGCAGTTAGAGGGCAAAGATGCTGTCAAGGTTGTTTCCATGTAATATCAATGTCATGCTATTTTATGTCCAAGATGTTGGGAGACTTGTTCCACATCTCACTGTGCTAGAACCCATACCTGGTGGCAGAGGTCCAGAACTGTCTCAGAAAGTGGGGGTGCCATGCCAGTTTTAAAGTTAATTTATGTGTGTCACCTTAGGCCATTGTTCAGCTTTTTTGGAAATTGGTAGGGTCATGGCATCCATGGACCTGCCATTCCTATGCCCACATCTAGCAGAGAAGTGGCACAGATCTTGTGGAGAACTATTACCAGTAAGAAGCCTTTTGTAAAATGGGACAAATGAGGTGATACAACACTGCCTGTTATTATCACACAAATGCCAAGACATGAGCATACAACACTGCCTGTTATCATCACACAAATGCCAAGACATGAGCATGTGGAGCTCACTACCCATGGGAGACCATATGGAATGTTATGGTTATGGTTATGTTATGGTTATGGTATGGTCTCCCATGGTTATGTTATGAATAGAATGGAGTACTGCCACTGATGAGTTGAATGGGCAGTCACACTCTCATTTACCATTTGTGCACAGCTTGACCAATGGTATTGCTGGAATGCCAACTGGCTATGCCATAGCCCATAGCTGCTATGGGCCTGCTAAGTATAAGCGATTTCAATTGAGAAGGCAAGTGAATTTGGAATAGCTCACCTACATGTCTGACATACATTTACAAAATACTAAGAGCAGGTGGATCCATGGTTTGGCTACTACTGAGCACAATAACACATATCTGGCAGCACATACATTATAGTCAGCACACATGAAGTGGCCCATCCTTTGGCAGCACAAGAATGATATACATACACACATATATATATATATATATATATATATATATATATATATCCACCTCAGCGCAAGTCTCATATTTCTGCCATACTTGGTCACTGAGATTGGATCCATCTCTGACCCTAGTCTCTACCTTTTCATCATTTCCACATTTGTTTCTCATGATGACCACACATGTAAGTAGAAAGTGAAGAAATTGCAGCATTGCAGAAATATGTGACCTGACGAGGCATGAGCCTAAATTGAGCCTAAACTGAAATCATTGCAAAAGATTATGTTGCCTCCCAAAAAATTAACTGTTCTATGATCAACAACTCCAAATATATAGCCTTGCCTGATTGGGCCCAGCCAGGCTACTAAAGCTGCAACATTCAGATTGCTTCATGTTAACATAATCTATGCAAGTAAAGTACAGCCTCTGCACAAATTTCATGGTCCGTTGATGTTGACTCACCTAGAATACAGCCCATGTATTCTCACTGATAATCTCATGGGATTCTGGATCCACTCATGGGATCTAGCTGCATGTCTGGTACAATGATGCTAATGCAATATAGGTGTCTCAATTTTGCATGATGTTGATCCAAGAAATTTCAAAGGATAAGCAGACCTTTGAATCCTAGTTGAGAGTCACTTGAACTTCAAAAAACCAGCTGGGAACTGTATGCATTAGGTACATGCAAGCTGAGAGAAAATGACACAGTAATTTGTCTTGAATACGTAACATACCTCAAAGGTATCTAAAAAAGGGACTTCTACTAAATGAATCGCTTGCAAACTGTAACATAAATAAACTGTAAGATGTTGTCCCAAAAAAGCATATGCTTAAATTGACTGCTTGCAACAGACATGAAAAGGACCCTTGTTGTGTTCAATACTGACCATTTTCATGCCAATTTTCCGCAAGACACCCTGGGCTAGATCCACTAGGAGAACTCCTTCTCAAAGCCCTTGGGTACAATAAAAAACATTAACCCTGTTTGTGTATGGTTACCACACCAAGAAAGGAAACACAAATTTACGGTTAAAGAGGAAGGCAACCAAGCGACACCCCCCCCCCCCCCCAAACCTATCTTGCGAAAATACATCCTCACTAGCTGATGCCGAGGCAAACTCAATATAAAGCCCGAGAAGCCAAACACTCACAAGTTACAATAATTAGTTACCTTTCGTAGATACCCGCACTCCAATTCCTCTCAAAGACCCCCACCCCGCCCTGATACCAAGATATCACCTCCCATCTCCGAGTTTGGGGAAGCATTCAAGGTTGATATATTACCTTGTCCTTGTGGGGAGGGTCTAAACAGCGGATCAAACCTGTTGACAGCCTCAAGCTCCGAGCCGACGGCACCCATCGACATCAAACTTTCACCATTCGATGTTACTTGGTCGGTGACATAGTCTTATATCACTTCGGTCACGTTAACCGTCACCAAAAATAAAAACCAGGAAAATCTTGTTGCAGATAATCCCATGCATCGAACCTATGAGACCGATCAGCATGAAATGTTCATCAATCGTTGCGCCGAAGTCGATATCCATCCTTTCCGGAACATGGTGACCGTAAGTCAACATAAAGGCCGTCAAAAATGCTTAAAACCACCAAAACTGGCAGCAGACGACCGCATGCTCCGAGTCTATGGCACCAATCACTGTAAGGTGTCAGATGACACTTATGTGCTGCTAGTAAATGTTTGCTTAGTTTGGCTAGCGCCGCTTCGAGGCGCTCGCGTTCCCCTCCTCCTGCCCCAGGTACCCCGGGCGAGAGACGCGGCCGTGGGGTCCAGGAGAGGGAAGGGAGTATCAAAGGAGAAGGCTCGGAGAGCCGCCGGCGCAAGGACGAACGCACCGACGGGACGGACTGCGTGTAGTGCCTGTGACGAGTGTGAAATACAGAAGGGACGTTGAACGTACTGAGTGTACCAGTGAGCCGGAGGCGACACAACAGAACAGCAGAACGTGCATCATCATTACCCTCACCAATCGATGTGCCATAGTCGACACCCCATCCCTCACGAACATGGTGACCGTGGGTGAGGTCAAAGGCTACCATAAATACCAAAAAACCGGAAAGCAGGATTGCAGACAGCCCCATGCCTGTCTGGAGGTGCAGACAGCCCCATGTCTGCAAGCTGACTTCATATGGTTTCAGCCGTGTTTGGTTACCTGTGATCTAACGAAAGATCACAATGTTTTGGTAAGGGTAGGATACCGACTATGGCGCATCGACTGATGAAAGTTCCATGCTGCCCGGTGCCTTAGGCTCGGAGCATGGGTTTTCTACAGGCAATTTTGGTGGTTTGGGGCATTTTTGGTGATCCTAAAACGTGACTCAAGGTCATCAGCCCTGGAAAATGTACGACAGATCGCTCATAATGCATCAAACAGTGAAAGTTTTGTGCTGATCGGTACCATAAGCTCGGAGTATGGGTTATCTGAAACCAATTTTGATGGCTTCGGGCGTTTTTGATAACGCTTGACCTGACCCAAGGTCACTGCATATTCTGGAGAGACTGGGATATTGAATTTGGCGCATCGATTGGTGGAGAAATTTTGTGTCGATCGGTGTCATGGGCTTTGAGCATGGCGTTGTCTGCAGCCCTGTTTTCCGGTTTGGGATTTATGGTGATCTTTGACGTGACCTAAGGTCACCACGTTCTGAAAGGGATATATCATCGACTAAGCGGCATCGATTGGTGAAGTTTGGTGTCGATCAGCAGACAGATCAGCAGATCTATAGGCTCGGAGCATGGGGTTGTCAACATGTTGGATGGGCCGCTTAGCCCTCCCTATCAGCTGCCCATATGACGTTACCGTTCTTTACATTATTTCAGATGGTTAATTTGCGTTCACTATTTCGCACACTATAGAGTCGCGCGATAGTCAGGTCTGAATGTTTGTCGAGCTATCAAGCTTTCAGGTTAAGGAGGTTATGAGGTTTCTTTATATCATGTTGCAGACTTGGCCAGACATAAGACATCACGTCTTCAAAGCTGTCTCTTTTTAAGATTGGTTAGGGGTTTCAGCCAAAAAGGTTGATGAAACCTTATCTAAAAATTTGGCCTCTCTGGAATTCAGCCACTTGGAGTTGCACCCTCGATGTAAAACTGAAAAGGAACTTCAAATATTTCGTAGATTCAAAATCGTTTTCCCGCGGAGAATGACCTTCCATTTCAAGTGAGCGCCTCCGTCCAATGGTGTGAACCGTCCTTACATAAGTTATGAAATTTCGAGCAGTTTGCTTGGTCCATCATCACGTTGAAACCAAGGTCAGGTCACACTAGTGCATCCATCATTTTATTGCTAGTGCAATACACACGACCACAAACGACGTCCGTTGTTCGATGCAAGGAACTGAATGATTTGATAAACCACAATCCTGCGTTCAGCAAATAAGCATCAGTTGTGCTGGCGGTCCACCGAGGTTGCCCAGTTATCCGAACCAACCGCGTTTTAAGGGCAATGGTCCGTCATTGACAGTGACTTTTGTCGACCTTTCTTGGTCCATTGGCGCCCGCACACATCCTTTCATGTGTCTTGTCTCGTGCAGCCCGGACCAGTCCTGCTCGGACCAGGCTGGAGATTCAGACTAGTTGGCTATCCTACGAGTACTGAATATTCCATCTTGTCCCCCGAGCGTGGCCATGTTTTGTCCAACGCAGTCAAGTCCCGTCCTGGATGTATTCATCCCTACTCCAGTCCCGTCATAGCTGTCCTCGTGTAAGGCCCGGTCCCAACTGCTCCGGCCGTTCCGTATCCTGATACGACTTGCCCAGGGACAGCCTGGTGCTGAAGCATCTGGGCTTATCTTGGACAGTTCGTCTCCGTACAGTCGCGGGCTGGCTATCTCTGTCTCCAATCCAATGCGGTAATGGCCGTCTCAATTCTGGCTGATGAGAACAGGGCGGTGCACTCCGGTCTTCTGCTGTCCTGGATGTATCTGATCTTGCCCTTTATTGGGGAATAACGACAGTTTGATTTTTGCCTCTCCCCTCTAAGAAGACAAAACCTATCCAAGGACGAGTTTCACTACACACCCTCTTCTCTTGACAACTTACTTCTGATTCGTGAAAGCTGAAGTTTAATCACCCGTTTCCGGTCCTGCATGCTCACACAGCGCAGGTTATAAGTAAATGCTCGGTATTTAACTTTACGAAACTACATGGCACATGGGGACGAGTCGGCCTGACCACAGCCGCGGCGGACCATAAAATGAATGTCGTCGAATCTGGTATAGCCTATAGGTTCTAGCGTGCATTTGTATGTACGCCTTCGCGGGCACCCGGGCTTTCTGTGACTTTCACCCACAGACACACATTGAACAGCATAAAACCTTGTCGGCGAAATAATTGTATCGAAACAAACAAACAAACGTTTGTTCAAACAATCCAAATTCATCTTGTAGCCACCTCCTCATCGAACATCGCCTCAGATAGCTGTGCGTCACTGATTGAACTTCACTTGAACAAAGTCCTGACTGCCTGCCTGCGTACTGCGTCAAGTCCCACTCAAAAGCAGTACGATCAGCAATGACGACGTGGGCCTCTCCCGCGAGATAGCGGGCGATGGGCGTCCGATACATGACAAGCGACTTCCCGCTGTCGGCCGCTCAGTGCCGCCACCGCCGCCGACCATGTCAGCAAAGCAGGCTCACGACAACCCGGCGCTGGAGGAGGGCTCCAGCGCTGGCCTCTCCGGCGAGCGCCGCGACCCGCAGCCGGACTTCGTGATCGGCGGCGCCGACAGCGACTCGTCCCTCGACTGTTTCTCCGCGCTGATCATCGGCCTCTCGTACCTGCTGTTCATTGTCACGTCGCCGCTGACCGTGTGGATGTGCATCAAGATCGTGCAGGAGTACGAGCGGGCGGTGATCTTCCGGCTGGGCCGGCTGCGGAGCGGCGGCGCCGTCGGCCCCGGCTGGTTCTTCGTGCTGCCCTGCATCGACGCGTACTCCAAGGTGGACCTGCGCAGCGTGTCGTTCGACGTGCCACCGCAGGAGATCCTCACCAAGGACTCGGTCACCGTGGCCGTGGACGCCGTCGTCTACTACCGCGTCTCCAACCCGACCGTGTCCGTGGCCAACGTGGAGGACTACGCGCGCAACACGCGGCTGCTGGCCGCCACCACGCTGCGCAACGCGCTGGGGACGCGCACCCTGTCCGAGATCCTGTGCGAGCGCGAGGAGATATCGACGCACATGCAGGAGACCCTGGACGAGGCAACCGACCCGTGGGGCGTCAAAGTGGAGCGGGTGGAGATCAAGGACGTGCGCCTGCCGATGCAGCTGCAGCGCGCCATGGCGGCGGAGGCCGAGGCCAGTCGCGAGGCCAAGGCCAAGGTGATCGCCGCCGAGGGTGAGATGCGCGCCTCGCGCTCCCTGAAGGAGGCGGCTGACGTCATCAATGAGAGTCCAGCCGCGCTGCAGCTGCGGTACCTGCAGACGCTGAACACCATCTCGGCCGAGAAGAACTCCACCATCATCTTCCCGCTACCGGTGGATATCCTTGGGTCGGTGATGAAGAACAAGTAGGAGGCCGACGTGCTGATCCGCGGCACGATCCGTGGCACGGCGGCCCCGCCTATCAGATGCCTGATCGGTTGGGAATGCGCCATGGATATCTTAGCTTCAAACACAAGCAGTCGTGATCTTTTCTCAAAGACTGGGTAGCACGCGACGAGTAGAACGGTTTCGTGATCCACACCTTATGTCCACTTCTTTGATGTTCCGTAACTTAAGTCTTCGACGGCGCCAAATGGTATGCGTTTTCCGTGCAATCCTGCCCGTGTTTACTTGCTCCGTTGTATTCAAATACCCGATGCACGTTATTCCGTAGCATGCGATTGAGAAGTTGTGGCCTTCCAGACAGTCCGACACTGCGCACGCTGCCGCCCCAGGTATTGCGTCTTCCCGGGCCGCTGTTTAAACGCCGCCTGCCCAGCCTGTCGCCTGCGCCGGACTGGCATGCTGTTATTATCGTTCAAAAGTTTATGCTTTGTAGGCTGCGGTGACTGCGGGGTACAATATCATGTGATCATGGCGACATGGATACATTCCAACGTGGTATTTTTCGACATAAAAGACAAGCTGATTGCGGATTGCCTGAATGAAGTCTGTTTCTGTATCTGCATTTGATAAAGTCCCAAATGTACTATTTGACACTAACAAGCCGGCTTGACTTGTCCAAGTTCAGTGACACCAATTTTCGGTGATCCATGATTTTTACATGGACTAGTTTAATACGCATGGTGAATTTTCGGAACCATAGGCGTTTTTTAATAAAATAACATCTGCCTATTTCTGACAACTTCGGCGGGCGCAGTAGGCTGGGAATTGGTTCCGTAATAAATATTATATATATATATATATATATATACATATATTCATATATATATATATATATATATATATATATCTCTCCTCTCTCTCTCTCTCTCTCTCTCTCATCTATCATCATCATCATCATCATCATCATCATCATCATCATCATCATCATCATCATCATCATCACGTAACAATCGTATCCTATGCCGGCAGCGTGCAATGCCGCGATGGGAAGGTTGGTAACGTAAAATAACATAAGAAATTACGGGAACAAACTTTCTCGACATTCAAGTTTTTTACATTTCACAGACAACATAGACACCTTACAACATTCGACGACAACACATCGCGAAATAAAGCACTCACGTTCTCGGCAAGCAATAGTACCCACAGAGCACTCATCATTCGTCCAGCAGTCTGTACAGACCGCAAAAGGCAGTTCCCACACAACTGGAATAAAACAGGTCACCAATCGGCGATACGCGCGACATCCTGTATCACAAAAACAGAAGCTGTACGAGTGATGACAAGCGTCGGGTCACCTAAAGCTCATTAACAATATCCCGCCGTTTCACCGTACCCAGCTACAGCAGCTCCCTACCCCCCCCCCCCCCCCCATGAACCACAACACTGGGCGCATGCGAGGAGCGAGGGCAAGACTCGCCCGCGCACCGGCAGCACGATCCAGTAGCCTCAGGCGGCGCACGGCTGGGCCGCTCCTAACCGCCAAACGTGCGCGAGAGCACGACGGCCAGCAGGGCGCCGCAGATGACGCCGACGGTGGCCAGTGAGGCCGAGGCCTGCATGAGGCGCCGCTCGACGCGCCGCTCGTGCTCCAGCAGCATCAGCTGCAGCGGCTCCGGGTCTCCGGCGGCCGCCTGCTGCCAGACGCCGGCGGCCAGCTCACGCCGCAGGCCGGCCTGCTGCTGCTCCAGCCGCGCCAGCTGTGCCGCCACCTCCTCGGCGAAGCGCTCGCCCAGCTGCACGTTCAGCCGGCTGGCGTCGGGCGCCGCGTGGCTGACACTGGCCAGCGGCAGCGCGCCGAACAGCTCCTGGAGGGCGCGGCGCACGTCAGGTCAGACCGCACAGGACGCGGCGGCGACGGCGGCGGCGGCGGCGGCGGCGGCGCGCACGGGGCGCGGCCGAACCGAGCCGGCGGCGCGGGCTGCCGCGTCGCCCAGCGTCCCAAAGGGAGCGTTCGACGACAGCGGCCGGCCATATACCTGGCCACATTGTTGTGTAATATTTTTGCGAGAACTAAGCAGAGCACACGTAGTTTGCGAGTTAGGGCTTGTGTACATATAGATTCACTTTTATGTCAGGGATATACCATAGATAACGGGGACACTGCGAGTCACAATGCAATGCATGGTCGCATTAAAGATAATGCAATGAACTGCAACAAACAGTTTACATGGCCAACGCCGTCCCAGGAACGATGCGAATACTAGCAAAAGTAAAAATCCACGCCTCATCAGTGATCGTTCAATGTCCAATGCACCACCTCTATTACCTCTATGGAATGCATCGCTTTCTTGACTTCGTTCTGCTGGTTCTCCACCGAGGACGTCAGCAGGGCCACATTTTCCTGCAATCTTTGGGGAACTTCTGCTGACGAAGAGGCGATGTCGCGCAGCTCGCGCATCCGTAGCCAATTGTTGATCGAAGTGCCAACAATGCCGATAAACGCACCGGCCGCCGAGCCAATGATCGACCAGTACTTCGTTTTTTCAGCCTGCGCCCGCTCCTTTTCATGCGATGTGCGCACTGCGTTTGAAAGAGCTGTGAAGAGTTCCTGTTCTGCCTTCTCAAACACCTTATATTCAGCATTCAATGTGTTCTCTTCACGCAGCACCCGGTGTTCCTGAGCAGCACAAAGTGAATCCGTGTGACAAGCATAGCACAATACCAGCATGGAACATGCCAATGACATTGTTGCTTGCTGAGGAGGCCCCGTTCAAAGAAAAATATGACTGTGTGTGTGTGTGTGTCATTGTGGTTTTACGACGCACTCAGCTGCTAAGGCTATATGGCGTCGCCTGCCCCTCACCCTGGCAGGACGGGCGGGCACCGCGGGAAATCGAACCCCGTACCTCCGGTTTCCCAGACGCGCAGTGGTTAATGCAGGTACAACCTGTATGAAATCCGACATTGCAATAGCTAAGCGGATGTGCAGACAAAACATTTGTTTCGTTCTGCAATGACATCATCTCAAGATAGCAAGTAAAGCCTCCAGACTGCAGTCTCAAGGGCAGCAAGAAACATCCTTGGCCCGAAGACTGTCGTCAGTTCTTTGAAGAGTGAAGACACCTCTTGGGAGACCTTTCACAACCGTGACAAGCCAAGGGGCTTTGGATAAGTAATAGTTTGGGGAAAATCCACAGCTCACTTAAGATGCAAAACACATCATATTGAGTGTATGACTGGAGCTAATACACATTACCTCCGTGACGAGAGACAAATATCGATCCTCTCCTCTACTGGTCTTAGCAATTTCAGCATGGAGATCCTTGAGCTTCGCCTGCACATGGTTGATGTGTATTTGCTGCTCTCTCCTCTGGGCTTGTGCTCGAAGGAACAGCTCCTCTGCCTGGCCAGAAGTCACACACAGTTGTCAGTCATTTAACAGGGTTGTGAAACATATTTGTTGCAACTAAGTCTAGTCAGATAGCTCAGGTGGTTAGAGCACCTGTCTTCTAATCCACCAACCTTAGTGAGGTCGGTTCGAGTTGCTTTAGGATGCTTGTTATCTGTCCTTTGCTGGTATGACCTCCAGGCCACTGGCAGCCGCCGTGCATAAAGTCTGCTGATACCACAGGGCAAAACAGACCACTCCAAGCACTTGCAGGACAGCATGCTTTCACCACCAAATTCTGCTGCTAACCTGGAATTTCACCATCGGATGGTCGGAGCCATGGCCCATACAACAAACATCGCCTAGCCATAAGCTCCTGATCCAAGCAATCCATTCAGTCACAAGGCTTAGCCTGAATGTTAAAAAACAGGACTGAAGCCAAGTCCCCCCACCACTGGTGTGACATAGCTATATTTCATTACTCCTGGCATTTCTGGCACACAGCAAGTTGCCACCAAAATATGCAGCTACATAAAATAGGACCAGAGTAACAGCAGTCAGCAGATGTACATAAGGAAAAACAAATTGTTTTGACTGCTGGAATAATGACAAAATGCATCATGTTCCATATTGGAAGACACTACCTATATCATAAATTAGAGTTGGTGGGTACATATCACTCAGGTAGGCATGATGAATCTTGTACACTCATTACCTTCATTAGCTTTTTACATAAATCTGTATACTTTGTTCTTGTATTGATTGTTCTAGAAGAAATAAACATACAAATACCCTGAAATTGCCATTCTAAGCAAACTAGGTGATCACAGGTTCAAGCCTGTGTAGACAAAACCCTGCTCTTGCTTTCCCTCTGAACCCTTACCTTTATGGGAAATTAGCTAACATCACTTCACACTGGACTTATGTGATCATTTTATTGGTGCACTATGTATGTATTTGAAGGCTGTCAGGGAGGCACTAGGCTTGTATCTAAAGGCTGTCAAAAAATGGCATACACTGAGAAAACTTGGCTGTCATCTAATGACAGGTGAGCGCTTTGACCAACTAGCCCAACACATTCACTTTTCATTGTATAGACTGCAGAGACAAGTCCTTGTGCAAACAATGCAACAACGCACCTACCTGTATGACTCGGTCTTGAGCTGCAGTAACATCTGCAATTCCGATGTAATGTTCATATGTTGTCATTATTGAGCCAAGCTTTTCCTTCATGGACTGCAATGCTGAATTACTTGACAACATGTGATGCTGTGTTTTGTTAATCCATGGACCCATCAATTCACCATGATGTAATATATGAGGCTTTACTATTGATAACATTTTTATTTATCCCTTTTGACCTATGGGAGAAAAATCAGCATGTAACAGCCAACAGCACATGTCATATCATAGCAGCATGTTACCTGACCAAGGAAGTAGAAACACAAACAACCTGTATTGTTAACTGCAGACGTCAACCTATCTGCAAAAAATGGCATTTAGTATTGGCATGCTGAACCTCAAGCCTGTGTGCACTTAACTCAGCCCAAGACAAACTAAGCTGAATTTCACATATATTCTAGGTGAAAAATGCTTTGAGTGAGTATTGCTGCCTGAGACTTGCCCTATGCAAAATCACAATGCCCTGAAACATTGGCTCCCTATACTCTGAATTTGGTGATGACCATGTGCTGAGGTTACAGATTTACATGTTGTATTAACATATGCTGAAAATTTACAGCTTGTATTGCTCTATGCACATAATGTTTCAGCACAACACATATCTTTTGCAGACTGAGAGGCAAATGCCCCCCTAGCGCTCCCTTGTCAGTCAGCCTTCAGCCAGTTGGTGCATCTTCAGTAGAAACAACACTGAGAAAATTCAAATCCAAGAAACTAGAGTGTGACACTACTGCAACTGGATCAAATGAGAGGGTATTGTACCCTGTCCAGTAGAAATTTCAGCTCCCAACCTAAATCTCTGAAAGAAAGTGTCCAATACGAAGAGACAATCTCCAAAACGCTTAAACATTAAGAGAGAGCATAGTCACCCATGCCCTGCCCCGGTCGCCGGCCTTGCACCCCCAGTGAGTTCCTTAAAAGACGTTATGTTACGATGAACCACACCTGACTTAATATTCCTACAGAGCGGAGCAATGCTAGCTTCAAGCCAGGGTAAATGACACCACCGTCTGAGATTATGGAGAGTGGGGACGGACGCGGACGTGCTCGCTCAACGCAGCTGAGGTGAACTATCTCAACGTAAACCGATGTAAATAGAACGATTTCCGCCATGACCTCGGCTTTGCTGCGCCTAAACTGTCAACCACGTATGTGTCAAGGTCATACCAGTTGTCGATGGATTGGTTGTGACCGTTCATGAGTCGGATTCTAGTGATGCCATGCTAGGGTTGAAATTTTTATGGCGTCATGATTACACCATTCATTTCGTGTGTTATAAAATAGTTAAAAATGAAAAGAGCTAAACTTATTGACATTATTGATGACGTCATGTATTTTGATCAGCTGATGCTGATATTTACACTACAATACTGCGCAAATGTGCGTCGAATACGCAATAAGTTAAACCTCAGCCGGTACGGCTCAATATCAATGGCATTAGGACGTGCGATGTACCCGTACTGATAGTTACTGGTACTTGTGAGTTGGGTTGCTTGGGTGCGGGTGCGCATCGGTATCTGTCTGTCTTGATGAGGGTAATAAAGATAGGCATATGGCCGAATGGAACTGAACCTTGAGCCTTCGTTGGAACGGAACCCCCCATTCTTTCAGCAGCTGAGGGATTCCGTAATAGGACTGGTACCTGAAGGTTTGTTATCATATGACCAGTCTGGCAAACTGGTGGTTATTTCCGTTTTTTGAGCGTTTTATTTATTGATGTGACTCCGAAAATGGCTGGTTTAATTCTTAGAACAGTATGCAACGCTGTTTGAGGGTGAGAACATTTGAAATGGAGATACATTCTGCAGTGCTCCATCTTTTTCTGTACCGGGTTGTAGGATGTGCGGACTTCTCAGGATGTATTATACCCCCTGTTAAATGTTGCCACACATCTTATATGGCTTTTGATTTGATGATATGGCTTTTCATGCCATATCATCTGATGCTAGTTGTTCACTTAAATCATGTGATAGTTACATGTTATTAATGTGGTTTGTTTCATGTGTGGTATGTTGAGTTCTGTCATTTGTTGATGGTTTAATTGCATTCATCAACCAACTTTTTGTTGGAATATTATTGAACACCTAGAGAGCCATTCACTTATGACATCAATTAAAGAGCAGGTTGAATTATTTTTTATTTTACAGTGGATATGAATGGCTTACACTGAATTTTGCAATTAGTGGGCCAAAGTGCAAGGTTTTCCATTGAAAACCAAATTTAGTGAGACATAGACATGCCAAATTGTAAGCATGGTATCTAGGAACATTCCTATTCTGGATCCACTTGTACTGCAACTCTTGATTCATGTATTGTTACACATCCATCCCAAATTATTTTGTGTTTGTGTGTTTGAAATTTAATCATGCAACAGTTAATGCATGTAAAAACTTATATGGAAAAAGCATTTGTTCTTGAGGAACACTTGTGGGTATGCCCCTGGTAGATGCCATAGGTGCAATGATGAATGCAGTGACTGATGTCACTGGATTAACTGATGCTATCAATGAGATGCACCCCTAGTTGATGCAGTGATTATATCAAAAGTGCAAGAATCATTTGTTGTATCCCTTTTTGAACAGAATGTTCTCATTCTTTTCAAGTGATTGGCAATTTGTGGAAGTCTCACTGAAATAGAATAATTGCTGTAGTTTTTTTCAAACTGGGATGCTGAGTATGGTTCTGCTGAAACCAGCATTAGCAACTTTCAGTTAAGCTTGTAATGCTCTGTGGAGTTGTGTTTCAGTAGCTTGTGTGCTCTATGCTTTCAATGAGTTTTCATAAAATATGGGATAATGATGGCAAACTTTAAGTGTACTTGTGTCCATTCTAATATAAGGAATGCAAATAATGCAAGCTGCTAGACTTCTAGCACCTTGACCATCTCGGTACTCTCAACATTTTGTATGCTGTTGATCCAATACTCTTTAATCGTGATCAAGCATTCCATCCCGTCGTTGCAGTGAACCAAACCCAAGGAGTCAGGGTGCTAGGTTGACTACAGTTGGGCTTGATCTGGATTGAAACCAATCCTTTTGTTGGGGCAGGCTTCTAGACTTGCATCCACACTAAGCAGTATGTGTTGTGTGAGCTCAGCTTGCACCATCTGATGTTAAATCAGGACCAACAGCAGAATTTTGCGGGAAATGCTTAATGAACTTGATGCAGTCTGTTAATGTTTGATGGTCTGTTTTGCCCTATAATGTCACCAACATTTGGCACAGCTGCCATCACTGGTCACAGGCCATTGCAGTTAGGGGCAAGAAGTGAGCACTCATAGCAACTCAAGCCCTGTTGCACACCAGCAAGTGAATAGAAATGCATTGCTCACTTGTCACTGTTTTCCAGGTGGCCCTCAGAGATGTTGAACAAGTTTAAGTCAGCTATCTATAGTGCTGTTGGAAGTTTAGAAGACGGACATAATGGCCCTGCAAAGGAGCTACCCGAGCCCAGACCGCCCAAGTTTCCATATGGTCGTCCCCAGTTTCTGCACCTGACCTCAGAAGATGAGGTGCAGGTGGCAGGTGACCGCACGATCCGCCCCATCATGGTGCCCCGTGACATCACCAGGATGCCCTGGATGTCTGGCTATGCTGAGTAAGAAACTACTGCCGTAATTGGATAGATAGCCCCCACAGGTCATATACATATTATGGATACAAAGAGCTGCAACATTGTCATGGGTTATGCCGAGTAATTGGTCTCAAAGGTCTGGTTCATATTGGTGGAGACCTTGGCAAACAGGAAAAGTGTTTGTGCATGAGGCTGATGCAATGCTGTTATCAGATTTACCTTTAGAACCAGTCACCCCTTCGCGCCATCGCGTGTTATGACCGACCTTGTAAGCTTGAGGCTTTCTCTGACATAACCTCCACGCATAGTACGTGTGTGACGCTTGTTTTCTGGCTCCTGTCGTCGCATTTGACACGTCATGCCTTTATCCGGGCGTCCAGGGCCGTCAACGCCGGAAAGAGCAAGCGCAACGAGGACAACGCGCACATCCACGTGGGCGTACTGCGGCAGCCGAACACCGGCGGCTCCGGCGGCTCCGGCGAGCCGGGGGCTCGGCCGGCCGACCGCGCCGTCCGCTACTACTACTTCGGCGTGTTTGACGGCCACGCGGGCCACGGCGCCGCAACGGCAGCCGCCAACCAGCTGCACCACATCGTGCATGTGAGGCGCGGGCGGTGACATCACCGGGCCGGGGGACGGGTGCGAGCACTCCAGGAGACAGACCACCGCAGCTGCCGCCTGTTTCCGAGTGCCAGGCCTCATTAGGCTTACAACTTGCAAGTTGTGGTGGGGGGGGGGGGGGGGGGGGGAGGGGGGACTAACAACAAGCCTTTGTGGTGGCACCTGTATGTATGGTCAAAGAGCAATTGGCAGAGGGAAGGGAGAGTCCGGAAGCTTGCAAGGTGGGCAGTCGCTAGCTTTGCCCGTCAAGGAGTGCGGTACATGGTTGTTTTTGTTTTATGCACGCGGTGCTGTCCTTGGCAGATATGTTTGTTATGCCAATCGCAGTTTTACTTAGCCAGACAAAATATTTTCGCGGCTGTTTCCCGGAATGCGAGCGCCTTTTGTCTGGCCCCAGGAGAAGCTGGTGGACGTGATAGACCACCTGCTGCCGCCGGAGACGGCGGACCCGGACCGCAGTCGGCCGGCCTTCCTCTGGATCCCGGCCAAGGAGCTCGCCGTCGACAAGCTGGTCACGGGCGCCCTGGAGGCGGCCTTCAACGACATGGTCAGTGGGTGGCACCGGCGACGGCGGGTGCAGATGACAGCCGCAACCCGCGTCCTGCTGGGTTATAGTCTGTTTAAGGCGAGGATGGCGAAAGACATGCTGTTTTCAGTTTATTTAAATGGCATGGCTTTAAGTATTAGATTTCGTTGAAAATATATTCATTCATAGGGATTGATTTGCATCCAGGACTCAGAGAAAAAAAAAACAGGACAATGGGGATATAGGCGAAGGGGGTGCACAAGGCTCAAGTGGCCGTGCACGTAAACCCACCACATTTCTTTTTGACGAAAGGATAAGGTAAAATTGTGCGGTTGATCCTTTTTAGATAAGCACTGTATCTTAGTGATGGCTGGCAATCGCTCTTTGTTTAATTCCCTGAATGTTGGCGTCCTGTGAAAACTGTAGCTTGCTGTTTAAAAAAACCTGAAAAATGGAGTAGGATCATGGGCAGGCAATTCTGAACTCACTTCTGCTATTGTTTCGATAAAGGCGTCTTGCCGAAATATCCATTCACATATATCTCCATTCTCCTGGTTTTCTCCAAGGAATAAGGCTATTAGTACCGTCTTATCTATGTGAAAAAATGTCTCTTGCAAATGCACTGAACAACTTACGTAGTTTTGAACTGGGTAATGTTTCCTTTCCTCAATGATAATGGTAATTTGTCTTGTCTTTCGTCAGAAAGGAATGCAGAGGGTTTGCGTGCGTGGTCACCCGGGCCTTGGTTGACCCCTGTGACCAGTTGCCAGCCGACCTTTTCATGTCATTCAGGTCAAACAATATGCCTGATTTGAGACTCGTACCCAGTGCCGTTGGATTACGGCCAAATAATTGCAGGCTAGTTGGACCATGAGTTGTTGACGCCGTCTGTCGTGGTGGAGTCGTGACGCCGCCCCGCCTGCGTGCGCTCCGCTCTTATCTCTACTCGTCGCACCGCGCGATGCTGTGTGTGCCGCTTGCATCCCAGCGGCCCTTCCCGGCACCTCGCCCCGCGCTCCCCCGTCCTTGCCGCCGTGACGAGGCCGCCCTCTCGGTGCTGGTGCGGCCCTCGGCTCCTGAGCCGCGCCCGTCCGTGTCGGCCTGCGGCCTAACCCGGTGAGCCAGCTGTTCCGCGGGACACAGGCTGTGCCGTGTTTGCCTGCGGCCGGTTGGAGCGGCCTCTGCCGGCGGGCGAGCGGCCCCGATCCGCTGCCGTCCACAGTCCCACCTCCGTCGGTGCCGCAGGACGCGCTTATCGCCGAGGACCGGCGCAAGTACGAGATGCGCGGCGGCTGCACGGCCCTGGTGGCGCTCTTCCTGCTGGGCCGGCTGTACGTGGCGAACGCCGGCGACTCGCGCGCGGCCGTATGCCGCCGCGGCCGCGCCCTGCGCGCCTCGCACGACTTCACGCCGGAGACCGAGCGGCAGCGGGTCCGACAGCTGGTGCGTGGGGCGGCGGTGTCGGCTGGACGACCTGCTCCGGCGGGGGGGGGGGGGGGAGGGCGGAGCGCTGTACACGCCTGCCGTCCGCACGGGTTCCCTTGGCCCTGCTGGCGGGCTGGCGCTTGTGTTTGATTCTGTCATCACGTTTTCTTTTTCACCTAAATTGACTCGGCTTGCAGGCAGCGTGTCATCTCCCAAAAGTAGTCTGTCCGATGGTCGTGGAGCCATTCACCGCATGCGCCACTGTCGCGTACCAAGTGCGTCCCACCGGCCACACCCGTGGCGTGCCGCGGTGACCCGGCGTCTGTCCCACAGGCGAGCCGGCAGCCGGCGCTGTTGGGCGGCGAGTTCACGCACCTGGACTTCTGCCGCCGCGTCAGCCGGCGCGACCTCGGCAAGCGCGTGCTGTACCGGGACGCGCACATGACCGGCTGGGCGTATAAGACGGTCACCGAGGAGGACGTCAAGTTCCCCGTGGTCTGCGGCGAGGGGAAGCGGGTGAGCGGGGCCATGCGAAGGGAAGCGGGTGAGCGGGGCCCGCGAGGGTAAGCCGGTGAGCGGGGCCCTACGAGAGGAAGCGGGTGAGCGGGGCCCTACGAGGGGAAGCGGGTGAGCGGGACCCTGCGAGGGGAAGCGGTTGAGCGGGGCCCTGCGAGGGCGGAGTTTACTCCAGACCGCCGCCGGGCGCCGGTACCAGCGGCTTTGGCGAAATTGGAACTTGCCTGGGTTAAATTTATAGGTTCTGAAAATTTGCCCGAAGTCCAGGTGGTCATGAATGGCTAGTGTTGAGCGTTTTATTATGTTAGAACCGGAGGAAGGGGAAGTAAAGAAAACGAGTCGGGCAGTCAACTCCACGTTATTTTCTCCTTCAATGTACGTTGCGCGTGTTGCTAAGACTGCAAACTTTTTTGTCTTTTGCCGATGCTGAGATATGGTGAGGTTCTGGAGGTCTTGCAACTCTTGGATTAGTGCTTCCTTTTCGATATTGATATCAGAGTGGGATGTGTTGCGCAGCTGCACGTACTGACATTAACGCCGTTTTTTCGTCCTTCCGAGAGGTCAACGGAGTCGGCGAAAAGTCACTCATCTGTGGCTGTGAGACGTCAATGATGCCTGTCTGTCTCCGTGCCCGTCAGAGGTCAGCATTGTCTGCCCTGTTTTGGAAGTCTGTGGTGTCTGCCCGTGTCTGGGAGGTCTGCGGTGCCCGCATATGTCTGGGAAGTCTGCCCTTGTCTGGGAATTTCATTGTGTCTGCCCGTGTCTGGGAGGCTCGTAGTGTCTGCCCGTGTCTAAGAGGTCTGTGGTGTCTGTCCGTGTCTGGGAGGTTCGCAGTGTCTGTCCGTGTCTGGGAGCTCTGCGGTATCGGGCCGTGTCTGGGAGGCCTGTGGTGTCTGCCCGCGTCTAGGAGGCCTGCGGCGTCTGCCCGTGTCTGGGAGGTCTGCGGTGTCTGTCCGTGTCTGGCCGTATGTGGGAGGCCTGTGGTATCTTCCCGTGTCTGGGAGGTTTGTGGTGTCTGTCCGTGTCTGGGAGGTTCGCAGTGTCTGTCCGTGTCTGGGAGCTCTGCGGTGTCGGGCCGTGTCTGGGAGGCCTGTGGTGTCTGCCCGTGTCTAGGAGGCCTGCGATGTCTGCCCGTGTCTGGGAGGTTGCGGTGTCTGTCCGTGTCTGGGGGCTCTGCGGTGTCTGGCCGTATCTGGGAGGCCTGTGGTATCTGCCCGTGCCTGGGAGGTTTGTGGTGTCTGCCCTGTCTTAGAAATCTGTGGTGTCTGCTCGTGTCTGGGAGGTCTGCGGTGCCTGCCTGTGTCTAGGAGGTCAGTGGCTCTGAGTCGTCGGCTGTCGGTCGGTGACAGGCGTCCCTCTGCCGTTCCCCCAGAGCCGCGTATGCGCCACCATCGGCGTCACACGCGGCTTCGGCGACCACGGCCTGCGCGCGCAGAACACCAGCGTCTACGTCAAGCCGTTTCTCCTGTCGCAGCCCGAGGTAGGTCCCGGCCCAGCAGGCTCATTACTCTTCCCTGTACAATTGCCTAAGCTGGGTCCGTTAAGTCCTTCGCCAAGGACTTCGATGTATTGCGTGAGGTACTTTCAGTTCTCGTTGTCGTTGACATTTGTGACTGGACGCTGGTTCGGGCCGACCGGGCACTCATTCTGATAACAAGAGTCGAGTCGGTGCGTTTAATAACGTGGAACTGAATTGGATTGAATACAGCTAGAAACTGCCAAGTTTTGCAGAAGTCATCCTGGATTGGATTCTGGTTTGGTATGTGAATGGCATCGAGCTTCAGTCTGCCGCGGCTGCCGGCCGGGCTGGCCTGCCTGTAGCGTGACGCCGCCGCCGGCTGCCGCTGCAATAACCACTGCTGCCTGCCTGGTGGCCGGCGCTGCGGCCTCACGCTCCGCCGCCTGTCCAGGTGCTTGTGATCGACCTTGAGGACGAGCAGGTCACCGATTCAGACGTGCTCGTCATGGCCACCGACGGCCTCTGGGACGTGACCTCCAACGAGACGGTGGCGCAGCTGGTGGAACGCGCGCTAAGTCACTTCCCGGCCGGGGAGGCGTCTCTCCAGCGGTACAGGTGCGTGTTCCTGAGCGGGCCCTGCTGGGAAGGCGTCCCTCCTGCGGTAAAGGTGCGTTTTCCAGAGCGGGCCCGGCCGGGAAGGCGTCCCTCCAGCGGTGCAGATGCGTGTTCCAGAGCGGGTCCGGCCGGGGAGGCGTCCCGCTAGCGGTACAGGTTTGTGTTCCAGAGCGGGCCTGCTCGGGGAGGCGTCCCTCCAGCGGTACAGGCGCGTGTTCCAGAGCGGGCCCGGCCGGGGAGGCGTCCCTCCAGCGGTACAGGTGCGTATTCCAGAGCGGGCCCGGCTGGGGAGACGTCCCTCCAACGGTACAGGTGCGTGTTCCGGGGTGGGGCCCGCCCGGGAAGGCGTCCCTTCAGCGGTATAGATGCGTGTTCCAGAGCGGGCCCGGCCGGGGAGGTCTCCCTCCAGCGGTACAGGTGTGTGTTCCAGAGCGGGCCCGCCCGGGGAGGCGCCCCTCCAGTGGTTTCTCAGGTGCTCGGGCGGAAGCGGTTTGGAGATCACTATGTGCCGGGCCACGGTGTGACTACAGTGCAGGTGTACAGTTGTGCGCTCCGTAGCAGCGGCGCCAGCGTCCTGTACCGCACCACGGCGCGGGCCCGCTCACCCCCGGCCTCTGCTCGGCGCGCGCTCACAGTTTAACTGTGCTGCGGCGGCGGTGGTAACCAAACCAGTGGCGACCAGATGTGTGGTGACCGGCCGGACGGGTGGTGACGGGTGGTGATCGGACCGTTGGTGACTGGTGGTGACTGGTGACGAGACGGGTGGTGACTGGTGACCGGACTGGCGATGGTTGGCGACGGGACGGTTGTTGTCTGGTGACCGGGCCGCCATGCGCCGCAGGTGTGTCTCGGCCGCCCAGGAGCTGGTGATGGCGGCCCGCGGGAAGCTCCGGGAGCGGCAGTGGCGCATGGCTGACGGCTCGCCGGCCACCGTCGACGACATCAGCGTCTTCGTCATCCCGCTGCTGGCTTACAAGGACGAGCACATGCTCTGGAAGGTGCGGCCGCCGAGTCCGTGGGGCTCGTTGACGGTCTTGGCCTGGGATGGGACGTTTGGTGTGGTGAAGGACATGGATAAGTCCTCGGTGGATGCACTCATATTAAAGTAACATGATTATTTCATTCGTACGGTCGGTGAAATGTAACTGAGAATTTCTTCGGGAGGAAAATACACTGAAATTAAAATTTACAATTCTTCCAGTCCGGAGGTGAACACCAAGTAAATGTTGTCGCATTTCCATCTTGGATTGGTAAATATAATTGTGTCGTGCTTTCCGATGGATGGACTCTAAGTAACCGTCGACATGGCTCGTTATTGATGTTTTGTTCTACGGGGATGTATTTGCCATTTCTACCCATGACTGATAGCACTAAAGTGTCCAAAAGTGCAAGCATTAATTCACCCATGTCTTGGCAGATGGAAAACACGGTCTCGGCACCGGTGTGCCACCAGAATGGCACGCTGGAGGCGGCGGGGCCAGGCGGCCCCACACCAGGCGCCGCCCCTGGCGGGCCCCAGTCGACACCGGGCGCGTCGGAGCCGACGGCCGCTCCAGCCGCGCCAGTCGGGCCGGTGGCTGCTCACGCCTTGGACCAGTGTGTGCCTCCCGCGTCCGGTCAGGCTACCATTCCCCTGTCAGGTCAGCCTGGACCGCCGCCGTCCGGCCGGCCCGTCCCTGCACCATCCGACCCATCTGCCCCTCCGGCGCCCGGTGAGACTGGTGCTCTCCGGTGCGGCCAGTCTGGCCCGATACCGTCTGGTCAATCAGTCCATACCCCGGCTGGTCAGCTGGTCTCTCCGCCGACCCGTCAGTTCGTGCAGCCCAGCCAGTGTGCCCCTCCGTCGCCGGGACAGTCTGACTCTCAGGCGCCCGCTCAGCCTACCCCTCCACCGCCCAGCCAGTCTGACCTTTCTCCGCTCAGTCAGTCTGCCCCTCCACCGCCCAGCCAGTCTGACCTTTCTCCGCCCACTCAGCCTACCCCTCTACCGCCTAGCCAGTTTGACCATTGTCTGCTCAGTCAGTCTACCCCTCCACCGCCCAGCCAGTCCGACCTTTCTCCATCCAGTCAGTCTACCCCTCCACCGCCCAGTCAGTCTACCCTTCCACTGCCCAGTCAGTCTACCCCTCCACCACCCAGCCAGTCCGACCTTTCTCCATCCAGTCAGTCTACCCCTCCACCGCCCAGTCAGTCTACCCGTCTATCACCCAGTCAGTCTACCCCTCCACCGCCCAGTCAGTCTACCCCTCCACCACCCAGTCAGTCTACCCCTCCACTACCCAGTCAGTCTACCCCTCCACCACCCAGTCAGTCTACCCTTTCACTGCCCAGTCAGTCTACCCATCCACCTTCCAGTCAGTCTAGCCCTCCACTGCCCAGTCAGTCTACCCTTCCATCATCCAGTCAGTCTAGCCCTCCACCTTCCAGTCAGTCTACCATTCCACCGCCCAGTCAGCCTACCTCTTCACCACCGGATCAGTCTAACCCTCCGCCGCCCGGTCAGTCTACCCCTCCACTGCCCAGTCAGTCTACCCCTCCTCCACCCGGTCAGTCTGATCCTCCGTCGTGCAGCCAGCGAGCCGCCCCGCCAGACAGCGAGTTGGTCGATCCTGCGGTTCAGTCGGTACTGCCGCTGCTGGTGCGGATGGAGCCGTCGTCTCCGGGCCAGATCCTGCCGCCGCCGCCGGAGCGGGCGGTCTGCCCACCGCCGCCCAGTCCCGTGTCCCGCGCCGCCGCTGCCGCCGCCGCCGCCGCCGCCGGCGTGCGGTCGGCCTCCGAGGCGGCACCGCACCGAACACCGCCCGCCAACACCGGGGCAGGCGCGGCGCCGCGGTAGTCTAGCGCCATCTTGCGGCGCCACGCCCTCGGTGATGACTGTGGATGCTCCAGAGGGGACGCTGCGGAGCCGGCGTTGGTGTGAGCCTCGACGGATGCGGGTGTGCAGTGCCTTGCGCCGGGGCCGTCCTGTGGCGCGGCCGCGCGGCGGTGAGCTGTACGGAGCCAGCGCCCGCGACGCGCGCTGGCGGCGAAGGCTGCGTTCTCGCCTGATGCTCCTCGCCCCGCTGTGTACGATCAAGTCAGTTTTGTAGGTTATCAATGCAGAGGGATCATGTCATAGCACAAAATAGTTGTTGAAGGTGCGTTCAAGATGGTTGTTCAAAACTTGTGCCCTGTTCAAAATGACTCATGAATATTGCGAAGCATTCCTTTCAAACATTCTTGTGGCTGACGTGGTTAATGACTACTAAAGGGATTGGGTGTACCAGAAATTTTTTTCAGTTTTGTGTAAAAATGTGGGGAAATTGGAACTGTACAACAATTTGAACAACATAGGCAACTGCACTTTCGCACACGTTTCCTTGGCTTAAGACGTTTGTAACGGCATGACATCAAGTACCTCCGTAGTCATCGTACCACTGTTGCGTACTGATGCATGACGTCTAGGACAATAACACAGCAATTAGGTGGAACAGTGAAGGGACGGAGCCTGCGTGATGGATGTGCGACACTGACGCTTTCCGCGCTCGGAACCGAGCAAATTTGGGGCGGGTCCAGTTCCTTGAAATACGGCCCAATGCCTTGCCAATGCCTCCGACACGAGACTTCTGGTACGGCCTGGTAAAATAACTAAGGTACTTTGAACAGTTCTTTGGCCTTCTTCGAATGAAATAAATCAGTAATCAAAATGTTACTAGCTCAAAGTGCGTCTAATCTTCGTATGCGGGTGTGATTAATCATGCAACAATGTTCCACTTTGTAATATGGAATAGCTTACTTCTGGTTTACAACGGCCACGATCGTTAAGCATTTCTGTCAATTTTCAACATCGTGCAATCAGCGTTATATCATAGTGTATTGCTATTGTTATATTGAAAGAAATACTTTGTTAGATTAGTGTGCGAAATCGTGCCCCCAAATACAATTTGACAGAAGGTTGATACTGAGGTCCGTTGTTACTCCGTGGTCTCTATGGTCAAGGCCGCAGGATAGTGTTGTACGAGGTGTAAGCACCAGTGATACCGTAACGCTCAGAAAAAAACACCTTTTCCCAGGTTTTTTGTCCGGTTCAATCCACTTTATCCTCCAATGGCGCGGTGCCAACGCACTGTCCCCCCCCCCCCCCTAATCCACAGGTGGCGCTGCGGCCATCGTCTGGTGTCACATGATCGTTTGGTGGTGATGGGGTTTGGGGAGGGGCAGGTATCGTTGTTCAATCGCCTTTTTTAAACGTTGCATGAATGTTTGCCTACTACTTGTACGTGTCACTTATTGTCACCGTGCGATACCTTAACTGTTTGATCAACCCAAGCATTCATGATTTTGCAACCAATGTTTATGCGATGCCTTTACCGCGTGAATTTCATGGTGTGACCTGATAGCCGTATTTCGCCGATGTTGCCTCGATGTGTAGATGCTCTTTTATCCCTTCGTTGCCTTGTGCTTTTTTGTTTCTCACGGAACCTCGACTTGTCTTCGAAGTGACCGGGCCAATACACCGCGTGGGTGCCGCAGTATTGGGTTTTCCTTGCCCCGAAAGTTGAACCGTTTCATATGAGCCCGAGCCCTGGAGCAACTATTTACAACATTGTGATGACAAGATGTCGTGAATTGTTGCATTTGTGGCCACAACCTTTCGTTTTCGGAAGAAGGAAGCTGAGCGTTGGGGTGAAATGGCCGCTTCGAATGGATTATCTGGCTAGAACTGTTGGAGCGTCTTTTGTTCGAGTGAGTTGGCTGCAGGCTGGTGTGGCCCGCCCCAGTTCAAGTCGATGCCAGGAGCGCCGAGCGTACTCGGCCAGACATTCGGGGCTTTATAAAGCACGCGGGTATGCGTGCCGCACTGTAGCGTTAGTGCTAGTCCCGGGACGTTTCGCCGTAAAGGCGGAACTGCGGAGCTGGAGCTGGTTAGCTAATCGCTGTCGTTCTCAGCTCATCATGAATAGATGATGAATTTATGCAGTCATGTAGCGCCTGCTACACACAACCATTACACGACGTTTTCATGCACGGTTGGCGTGTTTATTGCGCTTTGCATGACCACAAAGTATCGGCGTACTACGCATCTGCTACCGTCGCATATAGAACATTATGATATGGCACCATCTCCATCGGTCTTGACGGCGAAGCGAAAACGGCACGGTAGGATTCCCAGCACCTATACCACAGCTACTGATCATTCGCACCTGGTGCATTGCACATGGTGAGGACGTGATTAATCATCCTCAGCACTCCACGAGTCACAACACAGCGCGACGCGAGCCCCTCAGGGGAGCGTGAGTACGGCTCCAGCACCGACATTCCTGACGTCAGCCGAGGTCGCGAGCGATCAGTTATTCATTCACGCAAGTGCATGCAGCACACCAGAACCAGGGCGATCCAGTTCAGGCGGAATGCCACCGTCGTGAACAGACAGATAGCCACGCGACGTACAGAAGCTCGGACGGTGTTGAACATGTCGATGGTAATAGTCGGAAGTCCAATGCGTCTGTTGACCACGCCTCTTGTTCGCGTGTGCCGTCATCCTGTCACATCCATAGGTCTACAAGCCATCCACACGTGCACACGTCTCCTATGCAGTAGACTATCACCGACACCTCATTGCCCCAGCAGGCCGCCTCGTGGACCCGGACGCTGGCGACCGTTACAACAGGTCTAACAGACCGCCTGGCACGAAGCGGCGGGGCAGCTCACAGGAGAAGGGCAGGCACGTCTTCCTGGTGTGGAACCTGAGCGGCCCGTCGAAGATATGCCTCAGCGAGACGATGCCCCTCTCGGAGAACAGAGGCCGGCCTGCCGCTCGCAGCTGGTGTGGCGGCCGGCACGCATCCTCGGCCGAGCGAGGGGTCCACTCGCGACGGCGCGGTCCCGGCGCGCTGCCGCCGCCAGCGGCCGGCGGGCTGAGCAGCGGGTCACCCGCGCCGCGCGGCTGCCAGCGCCGGTCGGGCTCGGAGGGGGAGCTGCGGCAGCTCACGCCCGAGTCGCCGTCCGACGCGGAATCGGCCCGGCTCTCGGGCGGCGCGCCCCGCCTCCGCCCACGCTGTCGCGTCGTCACATGGCGGAAGCGATCGCGCTGGCGGCGCGCGCGGCTTCGGTACGCCCGCTGGATGACGACAGCGGCTCTGTGGCGTCGCCTGGCTGCTATCCAGACGCGGACGGCACGCTGAATCACGGCCGCCGCCCTGTGGCGCCGCCTGGCGGCCAGCCACAGACGCAGGTGGCGCTGCAGCAGGCGGGCGGCCCGTTCCCGGTGCCGCCGCCACAGTCGCCGCCCGGCCAGCCAGGCCCGGACTCCGCGCTGAATGGTGAGGGCGGCGCGGTGGCGGCGGCGACGGCGCCAGGCGCGCTGTAGCCGGCTGGAGGCCGAACGTAGCCGGAGCTGACAGAGGCCGCCCAGCCGGTACCAGGCCCGCTGCGTGAGGAACACGTGGCCGCAGCCGACCCGCACCTCCGAGTCGTCCGGAAGCCAGTCCTCCACCGCCTGGGGGCATCACAGAAATATCAGTAGGCCACAATTCTCTTCCAGCAGGTGCGCGCTGTAAGTCAGTTTTGTATGCATAGCAAAGATGGAAGGGACTAATTCTCAGTCGCCTAATATCGTTGTTTAACGGATCAAGTGTACTCCATATTGTATTTAAAATGGGATGTCAGAGCACCAACACCATGGGTACCAAGTATAACAGTGACGGAACCTACCTTATGCTCTCGAGAGGTATAACTAGGACAATGTGAATCAACGGATGGCGACACGAGAATACGGCGGTGTTTTCGCGATTACCTTAATGTCGTCAATATGTGCTGGTAAGTCAAACCGACCGCATGTTTACAGTATCGAATGAAACGACATTTCACGTTTAACGTTTCTTAGAGGAAGCATGAAAACCGTGGCGCGGGGAAGTCACACATGTTTCTCATCAATGCCACTTTGCCTTAAAGTGTCGAATTTTGGGACATGAGTAAAATTGCGACAAAGAGCACGTGAAAATATGTGCTCCGCTTGTAAAGTAAGCCCAGTTAGTGCTATCAGTATATCGCTGATGGCTATGCCATAGCGATACCCGACCCTGCCGGGAGCTGAGTGGTTCGGTTGGGATGGCTGCGCGCGGCTCGCACCTGTATCACGGTCTGGCGCCTGGCGACAGCGTCGTTCGCCGCGCGGCCGGCGGGCGTCAGCAGCGCTGTGAACCGGGCGCAGAACTCAACCGGCGTCAGGCGGAACGGGAAGCCGGCGGCGGCGAGCCGTGCCGTGGCCACCACGCCAGCGGCGCGCAGCTGGCGGCGCAGGTAGTCGGTTACCACCAGCCGTGGCGCCGCCGAACCGTTGGGCCGCACGCAGCGCACGTACTGCACGTCGGCGCCGGCCAGCCGACGCAGCAGCGTTGTCACGGCCCGCTGTAGCCGCGCCAGCACCGTGTGGCGGCGGCGCGCACCCGTCGGCGTGCCGACTGACTCGGCCGGCCCCGGCAGGCGGCGCACCAGCGGCGCCGAGCTGCCCGCCAGCAGCGCGGTCAGGCACGGGTCGACGCGGTCGCGGTTCTTGTCGATGAGCCGGCGCGCATCGTACGCCACCGGGCCGCAAAAGTGGCGCACGGTGAAGGTGTGCGCGCCGCCCGGCCCGGCCGTCACGCAGGCGGCCCGCTGCAGCGCGGCGCTCAGCTGCGCCGCCGACACCGGCTGGCGCAGTCCGCTCGCCTCGTCCACGGCGCCGAACACGGACGGCGCCGGTCCGTCCAGCGCCGCCAGCAGCGGCTCGTTGTCGGCGTACTCGAGCCGCGCACCCAGCAGGCCCTCCTCCAGGAAGGCCGCCTCCAGCCGGCGTAGAAACGACGCCAGGAAGAACTGCTGCAGCCGCTCGTTGGCGTAATTGATGCACAGCTGCTCCAGACTGTTGCACTCGAGGCTCTCGAAGCCGGAGATGTCCAGCAGCGAGAGGGTGCGCGGCGCAGCGTCCGCCGGCGCAATCTGCACGTTGACCCAGTCGACCAGCCAGCGGAACAGGCCGTCGTACAGCTCACGCGCGAGGCAGTCGCGGCGCGCCAGCACCTCGGCAGCCGAGGCGCAGGGCCGGCGCACCACGCTGCCGCGGCCAGCGGTCAGCTGCTGCACGGCCAGCGTCTCGGCCAGCGCCGTCGGGCGCACGCCCATCAGCCGGGAGGCGGCCAGCAGCGGCGCGTCCTGCTCCACCCGGAATCGGTCACCCTCAGGCACGACGACCAGTCGGCCCAGGTGCAACAGCGCCGCCAGCACGGCGAACACGGCGGCCCGCTGCGCGCCGCTCAGCCCCAGCTCGGCCATGGCCGCCTCCGTCACCGCGAAGGCGGTGGCGTCGCCGGCGCCAGGCCGACCCGCGAGCGCCGCCAACGCTGGCCAGCGCTCCAGGCCGAGCGTGCGCAGCGAGGCCGCCGGCAGGCCCGCCAGCAGCTGGTAGAAGATGTGGAAGCTCCGCTCGCCGCCCGACTGCCACGTCACCCGGGTCTTCTCGAATAGGCAGGTGTGCACCGAGCCCCCACGCAGCGAGCCGTCTGAGTATGACAACCGAAACAGTTTGCAGAAGCGGCTGCTGTTACCATTGCTGGTCGTCCTAGCATTACCAAACGCCTCCAACAATGGGCTGGAGACATTCAGTTTCTGCTCCATAGCATGGCCGGCGCCACGATCGCCCCGCTCCTCCAGCTGTACCAGGTAGTGCAGCAGGCGGTGCGCCGAGAATGTCTTGCCGGCACCGCTCTCACCACTGATGATGACTGCCTGATCAATTCCTGTTGCCAGACCATGATATGCCATCTGTGCAATAGAATGCACATGTGCAGGCAATGGACTGCCAATACCATCCAGCTGCTGTATCAGCTGATTCAGCTCAGGGTGTTCAAATGTACCCACATCTTGGAAGGGATTGACAGCTATCAAGTTTGTGCCAGCCCATGTGTAAATGACATTTGACAAAAGCCTGCTTTTGAGATAGGCTATGATTGATTCTTCTGTGATGCTAGGAAGTTTGCTTAAGTCTGATAGTTCCATTGGTGCTGAGGTTGTAGCTGTTGTTCAGCTGCTTCAATACCAGCTACCTATGGGAAGATCAAAATGGTGGTGAGGGCCCACATAATAACAGCAAAACTATGCCTGCTAGCATGCATGTCATGCCAACAATGCTGATGATGCAGTACCATGTGACATGATGTAGCCAGCCTACACTGGTTACAACTACTTATTCTGTTAACTGCCAATGCATTTTTCAGTGATTTCCCTGCTTTGCCACAAAATGTAACCCCTTTTGCAGTCTGGATGGTGGTGAGCTACAGCAACTGTAGTGATATTGATGAACTTGTATATTTTTACTCTGCCTGTGACCTTGCAGTATACAAATGCACATCTAAATAGCAAAATCAAATATCTAAAATTATTAAAAAGCAGATAAGTATTCCTAGATAACAGAAACAGCAAGCATGAGAAAATACCTAATTTCAAGGATAGTCTAAAACATTATGGGCACAAAATGACAGAAGCGGTCAGTATCCCTAACACATCTACAAACAAAAAAGGAGCAGTCCAAAGGAACATTCCTACCAACTCATAGTTCTTTATTTTCTGGCCATTGACCTACTATTTACAGACTTGAAACTACCTGGAATAGGTTGACTCCTCCCTTTAGATTTATATGCTAGTTCCAACCATACTGAAGGACATAAGTATGCCCGATTCTCCGAGCCGCGCATGCATCAAGGACAAGAGCATGATTCGCGGAACGTATTGCATTAACACACACTGTACTTACTGGGTTTACATTTGTCTGCACATCTGCACACGCACAATAAGTGTTCTCATATAGGTTAATTTGGACTGCATAACATTACCCTCACGAACACGTACTCAATGGTTTAAAATAAGATCCGCAATAATCGGCGAAAACCGACCTCTCGATTTGTTTGAAATTCCCTCACAGCTACAACTCGTCTCTGTCGCGCCATTTGTTTGCCAAGCCTCTAGCGGAGTGTGCCTGTTAAATTTAGTGGATCACCAAACCGATAAAAGACAACCATAATTACATAATAGTCATATGTCAATATTTATGGCGTGAGGGCATCGTGCACCTTGTATAGTGGGCAACAGACGGAATTTCGACGCTGCGTCACGCCTCTGACAGAATAGTGTATTTTCAATTTTGATTTTCTTACATATCACAGGTCACCTCATTGTCTGGGACTGTGTAGTCTGGGTGTAATCATTGACGTTCTCCAGTGCTGCCGCTATGCTGGCACGGGTTCTAAAACCCCTGGGATGTTCACTGGCGAGGAAAGTATGCAAAAAGTAAGTTGATGTCATTTTTGCATTGCCTTCTGCCTAAATTTGCGATTGCAGCTATGTACCTAAAGAATGAGAAAATGTTTGTGGAGTGAAATATTTGGCTTGGATGACTCAATAATTATTCTGCTCCTCATGAGTGTTCCTTTGCTCTTGTGTAGATCTTGTACCCCTATGTCTTGGCCCCCAAAGCTGGTGTGAGTCCCAAATATGTTTGCTTGTCAGGAATCATCCAAAAATTAAAGAAAAGTTCACAGCCCATCTGCTATAGGCATCATTTGATGACCATGGTTGAATGTTTCAATACCACCTGTATGTATGTTTATATATATATATATATATATATATATATATATATATATATATATATATATATATATGTCTGTGTGTCTGTATTGAAGGAAAGTTTGTCAAAAGAAAGAGGATTCAGCCAATTGAGAGTCAGTTATGGAGATGTTAGGTTCTTTGCTCCCCATTTCTTTGCTTCCTTTGCCCCCTCCAATTATTTACACAGATTGATGTCTCTGCTCTGTTGTGTGTCTGTGAGCAAAAAGGACATACCTTGGATTACTCATGACTTTTGATATGTGAGGGTACTTGTTTTTCTGTTTGGCTTACCATTGTTACAGATATTTGCCGAGATGCTGTTGAGGTGAATATTATTTCATTGAGTTTCCTTAAGACTTGTCCCAAGCTGTTGCAGCGTTGAACTGTAGTCTCTAACCATCATGGATTTGAACATGTATGATATGCCTATTTTTAATTGTTGAATGGTAGATGACAACCTGGTCTTATTTCCAGCCATGTTCATCATGCAAGAACATTGGCTCTGACTGCTCATAGGCTGGTACACTCTGAACATAATGAGGACCAGAGAACCACTGTCACACTTCTTAACAAGGAGATGGGTGATCTGATCAGTGTTGATGGAGTGAGCCAGGTGAGATGTCACTGAAGTTATAAATGTCAAACACTATAAGGGTTATGGTGAAAGCCACCCATGAGTTCAAGGTTCAAAAATCTGGCATGATATTTATCCCATTTGGGCAGCAGCTGATTACCCCAGGAGTGTATTACATATGAACAGATACAACTCTGGTCAAATGCACTTGGAATTTGTATGGCCCACATCCCAGGCACATTGTTCTTGTCAAGGCAGTCTCCACCATGACTTCAGCATTTGCCTGCCCCAAAGTCTGGTTTCAGTCTGGATGTGTCATCTTCTGTAAGTGAGCCTGTGCCTCCCTGTGCTGGCAGTTTGGCTTCCACCTGAACACAGGTGTAGTGGTTGTGGGCCCGATGGCCGTGTTCCCGCGGACTGTGCTCGGCTGGAACGTCGGCTCGCACACCGACATCACGCCCGCCTCGCTGTCACTCTTCAGCATCATGGAGCCACGTCTCGACTGTCTGGTCATCGGCACAGGTCGGACCATGTAATGTGCAGCACTCCTTTCACGCATCGAGTTGTAGTGTGACCCTTGACTGAAGTAATGGGCGGTCAAACGTGAGGTGTAGCTGTCGCCTGCATGAGCGCATAATGCATAATGGTGGTGAATTGACATGTCAGTGGTTTTTGAGGGCTTTGGAACACATTGGAGAGCTTCGTGTACATGGCGACACCCGGTGTCCCCGGTTCCTCTCGTGTCATTCGAACTCGTCAGTGTCATGCGCCCCCTGCCCGCGGCGGAGCACACCCACCCTTAACCCACCCTGACACATGCCTCGCTCCCGACCACAGGCGACCGGGGCACCACCGTCAGCAGGGACGTGATTGCTTTCCTGCGCCAGAAGCGGATCGGCTTCGAGATCCTGCCCACCGAGCAGGCGGCCGCCACGTTCAACTTCATGAACCTGGAGCGCCGGTGTGTGGCAGGCGCCTTCATCCCGCCGGTGGACGTGCGGCTCTTGGACCGCGACCTGGAGCAGCTGGAGAAGGTGCGCCGTCGCGAGCTCATCGACTCCTCGTAGATCGGGGAGGAGCGGGTCACGGCGGCACCGCGACGAAAGGGGGGGGGGGGCACTGTGCCGCGGTGGCCAGTTTGTACATTTGCGGCAGTGGTGCGGACGGTTGAGCATCCGACGAGCGTGTGAGAGACCAGGATTCAGGCTCAGTCCAGCGGGGTCTGACTGGCGCGACTGACTCCAGATGTGTCATCGTCCCGACTGACTCCATTGAGTCCTTTGCGGCTAGAGGCGACACGTTGTTTTTCCTATCGTTTGCTGGAGATCAGATGGTGGCCAGTCCCTGGCGCAATAGACCAAAGCGTCATTAGGATTTGTTTTGTTTGGAGGCTGTCTGCGCTGCTTTTACCTGTGCGGTTCAGGTAGGGGACATCTGCATCATGCGCTCCAAGAGCACAACGAAACTTTTATCCCTACTCGAGGAAAACCAGACTGACTCGCTGCAGCATACTGTATGAAACATTCCATTCTCACACGGGGCACCGAACACCTGGCTATCCAGCGTCCGACTGTCTGACTGATCGCGTCACCCAGCACCGCCTGCTGACTAGACACGCGCACACTGTGACGCCTCTACGGGGCGGCTGCACGCGCCGCGACGCCGCATATGCATCGCTGGTGAGCAGACAACTACGCGCGAGTTCCTGCAGATTAACACTTCCTGGAGTGTGACCAGCAAAAGGCGACGCTCCCAGGCCCGACGTGCAGGTGGCAGCCGGTGAGTACTTGCAGGATGATTTCAGCTGAGCTCCCCACCACGCGCGAGTCGTGCCCGCGGCACATGGCGAGACGAACGTTCCACTCAGGCGTGCCACACCAAACGTTGGCGCAGTGGCCAGAGTCAGCCTCTTAAACCGCTCACGACTGCTGTGAAAACCATGTTAAAGCTAGCTCTTTATCGAGTTCGTTCTCTCTGCTACGACGCTGTCCGTCTTCCGGCTGCGCTCCGGTAGCTCTCTCACTGATCAACCTTCAGTCACGCTTGGTTTACATTTCCCGGCGGCGCTCTCAGAGCCGAGCCGTTCGTTGAAATCGTTCGGTGACGCTCCGCTCACTCCCGTCGCGACCTTCACTGCGGAGGCGCGTCGGCTGCGCCCACTGTCGCGGCCGGCCAACAACGGAGCCGGCGTGCGCCGGTCCCCATGACGGCCTGTTCGATGTCGGGAGCCGACCCGGCGCGGCAGGCGAGGCGGCGGCTGCGCACCTCACTTGTCCAGCACGATGAGGTCGGTGAGGTTGGTGCGCGGCTGCGCCATGTCGGCCGGGAAGAACACGGTGAGCTGGTCGAACAGCTGGGAGCGGGCGCGCCGCCGCGGCTCCGTGTCGGCCGGGTCGGCCGGCGGCACCGCGAACAGCCGGCTGGCCAGCAGCTGGAACTGCCGCTCCTGCTCGGCGTCGGCGTGGTCCACCGTGCTGGCCAGCTCGGTCTGCAGGTACTGCAGCGCCGCCATCACGTCCTCCGTCACCAACTCCTCGAACCTGCAACGGCGCGGCTCGAGTCACAGGTCTGCCGGGTGCGGCCAAGCCATGTGCAGATGTATTCCAAGATGTCCCTTCTCCTTGCCCCTGAACTTCCATTCCCCATATTTTACTCCCAAATCCTTTGCTTACCCCACTGCACCCAAATGAACTGTGGGACATAACGTCATTGCGATTAGTGCAAGAATGCCCAAGAGTCTGTGCGCGTTCAACTATCACGATACCATGCCAAATTTGTAACGTCTCGGCCAGTCCGGCCAGACTCGTCTGTCTCAGATAGGTAGCCCCAGACCTCCCACGACTGTTTTTACCAGGCACCCGGCCCATTCCGTCCGTAACATCATGAAAGAGGCCCATGTCATGCACGCCACACACGTCCGCGCGGGATCGGCTGGCTGACTGACCTCTGCCGTCGGAGCAGCAGCTTGCACTGTCGCAGGATCTCGGTGCAGGTGGGTCGCGTCAGCTTCAGCCGCCAGAAGTCGTCCAGTCGCATCTTGGGATTGCACTTGCGGCCTGGGTTGCCGCCGAACAAGTAGAACACCTGCCGGCCAAACGCCAGGCGGTAAGAGATGGGACACCCGGCCGGCAGCCACCGAGCGGTGAGACACGGACACCCCGCCGACAGCCGCCAAGCGGTGAGAGGTGGGACACCCGGCCAGCAGCCACCGAGCGGTATGAGACGGGAAACCCGGCCGACGGCCAGCGAGCGGTGTGAGATGGGAAACCCAGCCGACGGCAACCGAGCGGTGTGAGATGGGACACCCGGCCGGCAGCCACCGAGTGGTGTGAGATGGGACACTCGGCCGGCGACAACGGAGTGTCGTGAGACACGGATAACCGGCCGGCAGCCACCGTGCGATGAGACAGGGACATCCGGCCGGCGCCGCCACAGCTCGGCAGCGCACAGCGCGCTGATGAATTATATGTCACCTGCATCGACGTGCGGCATTTGACGGCTCAGAGACCACGCATCTGGCGCACGGAGACAGTCACAGTGTGCGTGGCTGGACGGCGGGCCCGCCAGACGGGCGGCCACCCACCTTCCGAATGTGGTCGAACACCAGCTGGTGCGCGAACCGCGGACACGGCTCCACCAGCGGCCGCGCGTCGTCGCTGGGGCCCGGCTCCAGCCGGTTTCGGTAGATGCACGACCTGGGGACGGCATCAGCGCGCTGAAGGCGCCGGCGACCCAAGCACGTGACATTGGCGTGAGGCTGTCGCCGACGTAACCATTCAACAGACTCCCGGCGACCCAAGCACGTGACCGTGGCGTGAGGCTGTCGCCGACGTAATCATTCAACCGACTCCCGGCGCGGCGTTTGTATTTCCACTGCAGTAGGTCTGATTAGCCACTTGCAGTGTGATCGTTCCTCCGATCAATGTGCAAGGCGGGGATTACACCCTAAGGAGGGGAAGGGGCAAGTACGGGGTAAATACCCCAATATATAGATGCTTGACGGCACATCACGGTCATGCGTCGGCGGAGCAGTCCATGTCGCGTATGCGAATAGGGCACCCTAAAACGACGGTGAATTTCAAAAGACAAAAAGACCTATGACTGGTGACTGAAGGTGACTGGCGACCAACGAATTGGACTAAGTCGTCTACCATCCACCCACACTCCGTCACGGCGTGTGAAGAGAAATCTAAGCACTAGCTAAACACAACGCAATGATATCGCTTGAAGCAATGAGCTAACTGGGAAACCAGACTGACCATTTGTTTTGCTTGATGTCGTACACCCAGAAGGAATTCTTCAAGTTATCCTCCTTTTTCTCTTTGTCCTTGCTGAGACCCTGCAATTATGAATGCGTGGTTTGTTGCGTCCGTGCGCGGCTCCCTCCGTTTCCATTGACGCTGCGAAGATAACCAGTGGGCACCCCCCGAACCGCCACGAACAGCCTGCAGCTACACTTCCAACAACGAAAGCACTCAACACGTTCCCCGCGGTTTGCCAGCCCCGCATCCGTCCCGGTCGCTAGCGCCAGGTCCAGACGGCGGCCGGCAGCTGTCCCAACGCCCGTCAGCGGCGCATCGAGCCACGCGGCCGCCTCACCGACAGCACGTGTATCTCGGCCTGGTCGACGTCGATGGTGGCGCGCTGCGTGGTGCCGGCGGCCGGCACGTCGGAGGCGCCGTCGCCGCGGGTGCCGTCCGAGATCACCACCAGCTCGTCCGTGTCCAGGCAGTACGTGAAGAAGTCGTTCAGGTACTCCTTGTTGCGCTGGCCGGCCAGCACGTACAGCAGCCGGCTCTTCTGCGGCGTCGGGGCGGCGCCCGGTCACGGCGGGGAGGTTGCGACGGGCCGGGGCGACAGGGCACCTCCCTGGCGTGTCAGCATACTAGCACAGGGCGTGCGCTGACTGCACCGCGCACCGCGAAACGAATCCACTCAACAGGCGACAGGCGTCCACACACGCGCTGTACACAACAACAAGAGCCAGTGCGGACGAGTTTCTGTCATCTCCAACACGTCTCTTCCGCCGGGGTCGGCGGCCTGCGGGCCCGCGGCGAAGGCTGCGCCAGTGCCGACCCGTCCGCCAGCCCGGACGAGCAGCCTAGAAGCGCCGACAGGACACTCACGTGATCGAGAAGCATGCAGTGTGAGACGCGAGACCGGATCTGGCCCGGGCCCGCGTGGTGGCCGTCCGAGCGCAGCAGACCCCACGTGCTGGTGGCCACGTGGAAGGCGTAGAGGCCGGAGAACACGGGCTCGACGGAGCTGAGTGTGCCGGTGCGGTCGTCGAGCGAGCTCCTGGCCACACTGGCCGGTCACGGCGAGCAAGGGTGGGCGCGTCACCGCCGCCCACCGCACGCGCCTCCGCACGCGCCCATCCACCACGCAACACAGACGTCAACGAAACAAGCCTAACGCAACAACGAAAGAGGAGTGTAACAGCAGACGCATGCGGAGCAAAGACCCACCCTTCCAAAGCATCGATGACAATAAGTGAACATGAATCCTCATCAATGACTTCGTCATAATCGGCTCGCTTCGGCCAGAACACCGACACGCTAATACATGCGAAGACGCCTGGCCACATCTCGGCCATACTGGCCAGCTGTCCTGGCCACATCCCCGCCACACTGGCCAGTTGCGCACCCGGCGTGTCCAGGACCGGCCGCGATGAGAGGCCACTCACGAGGCGGTGCAGGTCAGCTCCTTGCCACCGAACACGTAGATGGTGCGCGTGACTGGGTCCAGGCACATCTGGTGATCGAAGATCAGGTTGGGTCCGCCAACGCTGGCCGTGTCGTCCGTGATGAGCGTCCACTTGCGACAGGGGATGTCGTACATGTAGAAGTCACTCTGCGGGAGGCGGCAAGACGGGGGGGGGGGGGGGGTGAGCGCGCGGTTTTCGGCGCGGCGACGAGCGGCGACGGCACCGAACATGCGCATAAGAGGAAAACTGACGCTGGGACCGGGATCTGGGAGCAACTGGACTGAAGATCTCCATCCAGCATCTGCTAATGAATCTAACCACGTGCACGCAAGAGACGTTTCCAGACTGTCTGGCAAATGACCGCGTCGCTGAGAGCTGAACCGAGACTGGGTGTACGAGCGTCGAGCCGACATTGGTGCGGAGACCTGCATACTCTACGAAGATGTGCATTATGCGGACTTGCGCTTCACTGCGCATGTGCAGAATACGTTCCGGCGCCGACCCAAAGTGCACGGGGTTACTCGATGTTTCGATGTTACTCGATGCTTCTGTTGACTGAACTTCCACTCGGCGAAAAATGCAAGGAAATCAATCCACCATAAGTAAGCGACAAATTTATAATCTAACCCCGTCCGGTACTAAACATAAACCTAATCATATGAGTTTTGAGCTTGCACGATGTGTGGTGTGAATCGGCCACAAATGAAAACCGGCTCGTTAACTTACCCTGAGATTTTCCGGTATTCGCTGCGAAGAGTCGACGTATCTGCCCAGAGTGAAGATCTGCTGCCTCTCCATGTCCAGACACATCTTGTGGCAACTGCGGGCGCTCGGACCACCCTGTGCAGGAGATCGCTGCGTACAACAACTGTGCCGACTTCGGCGTCACTGAAGCACAGCTCATGCGCCTGGCCCACAAGTGGATCATGTAGATGCGTCTGTGCGACCGTTATAGAACCAAGCTGCCTGGGAACGGTGCCACGCGCATCACTACTGCAGCCACCACGTGCAACAACATTATCGGACTGATGTAAACACATGAGTTATCGGACTGATGTAAACATGACCTCATGCACCGCAAAAACACGCCATGCTTCCAGCTACCGCTCCTGCAATGTGTACTGTGTGAGCAAAAACTCACGGACCTAACAAGATGAACCTCTTTACGCTGACACATACCTTGCCAGCTTGCCACCCTGTCAGCTGCATTGAGAAACGCGATCTATGTATGGTACTATTGCCCATCACGAACCCATTAAGCCTCCTTCAATTGATATAGGAAAACAGGAAGCATCGTCCTCCGTTGCAAGCCCCACGCGTATCGTCATGCATGACGTCTGACGTCATGGCGTCCGTGCGTCTCAGTCTCCTGCTTGATAACGCGTGACATTTTGCGTGTTGATGAGGCCTGTTGCGGCGGCGGTGTCCCGACCCGTCGCACCGCTCCACGTGCCCACCTCAGCTGCCGTGTCGGCGGAGAGGCGCGTCCAGCGGCCCTGTTTGATCTCGAACGCCCAGAAGTCGGCCAGGTCCTGCGTGCCGTCCCAGCCGCCCAGCAGGTACATCACCTCGTGCGCCGGGTCAAAGCACATCTGAAGCGGCCGGAGCGGACGCCGTCAGCGGGGCGCGGCAGCGCGGTACGGCCGGGCTGCGGGAGAGCGGCCGCTGGCGACGGTCGCATGCTGCAGCGACGTACACCCCCGGGACGGGGTGATCCCAGGCACGGACCGGGCTCGCCGGTGGGAATGCATCTGAACGACTGTCGATGCATCTGGGCGTGGTAATTGTAAACAAGGCCCGCCCAGAAAGCCTTATCTGAAATGGCGATTTACTGACCCCAGCTACCAGCAGTTTGCAGCAGCATGTGGACAGAGTAAACATAATTTGGCATCCCGTATGTCTGCAGACGTGAATACATCTCGCGTTTTAAAGAACAACAACCTGGAGATGCATGTGGTACACTGAAAGCACCGGGCACCCGGCCGTGTGTTTGACCGGCGAGTTTCAGACTGCCCGTACCACTTATGGCTATCATGAAACACATCGCATCCACCAGACACCACACCCGCGCCACTGCCGTCGCCACCACCGTGCGACCTCAGTCGCCGCGGCGCCGGTCCGGACGCAGCGCGCGGCACCCGGCCGTGACCTCCGGACAGCCCGCGGGCCGGGTGCGGCCGTGACCCCAGACGCGGCGCTCACCTGATGGCCGCCACGCATGCCGGGCCGGTCGGTGCCGGGCGCCGGCACGATCGGCAGCCACTCCGGCCGGTATTCGTGCTGGCCGATGTACTCGCGGAAGAGGCCGCGGTCGTGCGCCTGCTGCACGGCCTCCTCCGTGGCGCCGAAGTCGCCCCGCTCCACCAGCGCCGCGTGCAGCTGGGTGAGCAGCGGGTCCTCCAGCTGCACGCGCGTCCGCTTCTGCAGCGAGCTGAACGCCTCCTGGTAGTTCTGTTGCCGGAAGTGCTTCAGGCACAGCCGGATGGCCTCTTTCTCGCGGTACTGTCGGGGGGAGGGGGAGGGGAAAGATGTGATGCAGACATGGCACCCCACCGAGCTACACACCTGGTAATCTGGTGAGTTGGTGACAACGCACGTGACAGCCTGGGTTCTAAGGTAACGACTTCCGCGCTAGATTACCTGACCGGTTCTGAGAAATGCAATGCCACTTTAACACGAAGTAAAGAGCCCCTGCCAACTGGAAACATGCACACTTATCAGCTAACTGTCCAGTCACCTGAGCCATCAATCTAGGACCAAATTATGTCAAAAACATTGACCTTAGCAGCCTTGGTGGTAGCTTAAGTCAAGTACATGAATGCACTAAAAATGCATCAATGCAAGTAATACATGCCTACATGTGTATGTACATATAAATATATAGTATTGATACATGAAAACCAAAGGAACATCAAAAAGCTAGGGGCAATATACCGATTATCGTGCATCAGTATCCACCATAATCCCACTTCATGGCTGTCAAACAATTCAACAATGTACTATACCATACAGTGCTGTATCACTATATGTGGGATGGAGGTTGCCGTAGCAAGCGCCGACCAGGTAACTTACCGCCGTGAACCAGTCCATGTGGGGCAGCACGGTGGCTGGGTCGTCCACACCCCACAGCTCCACATACCAGATGCTGTAGTTGAAGCTGGGCCCCCATGAGTGCAGGGGCACCACCTTCACATACTGGCATGGGAAAGGGTTGTTCTCCAGCTTGTACTTCAGGTAAAACGTCTCTGGCTGGTTATCATTCTTGAGACCGCTGCCAAATGGCCACAGCACGGGTCAGTCGCGTGGCACAGCAGTCATGTTCAGGTATTGAAAGCTTGCATGTTTTCTCAAAGAGCCCCATGTGACAGGGCTGTGCTAACTCAAGGGTCGGCAAGTGGCAGGAGGGGAGAGCCAAACAATGTCATTGGTTGAAAGAGAGCATGATCAAATGGGGTGGACAGTGTAGCAAAATGTCAGCAAGCATACCTCACCTAATGTGTAACAGGAACAAGAGTTACACTTCAGGCAATCAGCAAAATGTCAGCAAGCATACCCTCACCAATGTGTAACAGGAATAAGAGCTACAATTCAGGCAATCAGACAGAAAATCCCACTTGGTATTGGAGTGGACAAATTATTACTGAGAAGGTGCTCTAACATGCCTATAATGCCACACAGCCCCAGGACAATACTACACACTCCACCAGTCAAAGTCAAGGAGCAATTGCTTTAGAATCGTCAAGCGCTGACACAAATCAACACACAAGCCTCCACAATATGCTGTTGGTATCATACTCATACATCTCTGCTACCATTGAACACTTCTGGTCAAGTTTCATTTGATTGATTAGCCAAACTGGTCACAGTTCACACAGCTGGGAACATGATGTGATAATAATGATCACCTGTCAAGAAGCTCAATCATGTTGTCCTCACAGAGGCCTCCCAACACTTTGAACTTCTTCAGGTTACAAACATGGGTCTTCTCATATTTTCCAAATGTGATTGTCCTTAAAATTGCAGGTTGTTTCAGCTTCAAAATTATGTACTGCAAAGCAAGCATGCTTGGTCAGGAAGTGCAACAACATGATGTAAGGTAGTGGCAAAAAACAACCACCCCTGAGCTTCAAATGATGAAGAACATCTGAAAGCTTAGCACACTGGTCTACCAACCATACAAGAATGGCAACATAGAACATCTACATATTCAGAGACAGCTCAACACCAGGTGCCAGCAAGAAACTATTAAATTAAATGGTCAGGGTATCTAACAGCTTGCCAACTTGAACATTTTGCTCTTGCTAGGGCCTTTACCTGTGGGGGATTGTTGTTTTCTGATGACCATCTTGATGCTTGATCACTTGGCTTATCTTCTGCAATGTTTCTAAAGGACAAGAAGTCAGATTTTAACAACATGCAAGCACCTCACAAGACAATGCTTAAAGCAAAACTGATACCCAGAGGCTTACACTAAGCAACATTATTTCCATGCAGCCCTTGGGAAATAAAACTTACAGTTCAATTGGCCAAGATCCTACCTTATGGCTTGACTTGACTATGACTATCCTACCTATGACTCTGCTGGTAATGATAATGGTAAAGTATATGAAAAATACAATATGTAAAATACTAAATTAAAGCAAAATCATCTGATACCATATTGTTTTCTGTATGATTTACCACACAACCTACAAATGCACCAATGTTTCAGTGCATTATAACACCATATTTTTTAACAGGACAGCATAGCTAACTTTGTGGGATAATGGAACCATAGACAACTTACTTTGGAACATATCCTCCTGAGAAACTTGAGTAGTCATGGATATCATATGACAGCTTCAACATTTGATCCATATTCTGAAAAATAATCCAACTTTAAGGCCAAACATATCAAGCCGCATGCCTGAGCTATTAAGGTCTTCTATTACTTATCATGTGATCCAAAAAAATCACTTGAAATCTGGAAATAAGATGATATGCAACAGCTAGAAAAGAAGTAAAGCACAGATGTCGGCCTGAATCCTATAGCCTGACTAGCTCTGGATCCCAAGCAAAGAATTAGGCTAATTGGGCTGATGACGAGCTGAACACAATCCCGCTACCCACTCAACATGACTGGTAAGTCCTGAAACATGTATACTAAGAGCAGAACTTGCCCTCTCCACCAACAGTGCACAAACATCCTGGTCAGGGCGTACACTGCTACCTCATGTTAAAAAAGAGCATTGTACATAAATCACCGTTTTTAAGGTAGAACATATCGTACTTAATCGTAAAACAGGTCATCTAAACTCTTACCTTGGAAGTTAAATAACTATGATAGGGAACATCCCAGCGCCGCAAACATGCATCAACCGCGACCTGGCACCAGCCATTGCCATGCATGATCACAACATTACTGCGTGATCACATTACTGCACATCAAGAACCATAAACATGTATGAGGCCAAGGTAACAAGAATCCAACGAAATATGTTTCTTGCGTATCCAAGCATCCAAGCAGTCTTCAGTATTGTTTGTAGATTGGTTGACATGGTGGGGAAATATGACATTTTTGGGTGGGAATGAAAACCAAAATGTGAATATGGCGGCTAAACAAAACTTCTTATACCGTACATATATGTGGCATGGGACATGGATGCCAGTGGGACACTGGGTTAAACGGGATATGGTGAGGGGGTAGGTTAGGTTAGGTCAGATTGGGCTACGTTCTGGACTTTTCTGGCCTGTCTGTTTTGTAAACATACCTAGACGTGATAAGAAACATTTTTCATTGCATTATTATTGTTACCTTGGCACCATACATTTTTTATGGTTCTTGATGAGCAGAAATATTGTAATTACATAACAATAACACAGAAACAGCATTGGGGAGCTAAGGCAGTGGGGTGCGCGCAGCGCTCTGGAGCTCACTACCGTTGTTATTAAAATTTGAAGGTAGGAGCATGAATCTACCCGTTTTACGACTATTTACGATATGTTCCACCTTTAACGCAATGAATGATGTACAATGATTTTTCCAACATAAGGTACCAATGTATACCTACACCAACATGCTTTATGCCCACGGAATTAAACACATAATTACACGCCAAAAGTTGGGTGTCATTATTCTTTTCCAAACACAGCCAGTCTCCAGAACTGCCGCTTGTTTGGTTGCCCCAAATTGTTTGTCGCGTTCAGCCTGTTGCTCTTTAACTGTTTCCTTATTTCTGCAGGCTATAGCAAACCAACATACGCCCCATCCGCCGACAGAACACAAAATTCGCTGTCAGCCAGTAAAGACAACGTAACAATTGACTTACGACAACCCCCAATTCTGGCCGTCCCAGTGCACCACGCTCCAACACAGCGCTCATAACGCTCATAATCCCACGCGACGCGCGAAGAAATTCGCTTCCCAGTGCCTTTCGATAAGATCAAGGTTGTACCAATTGGTTATACTTCAAGTACTGATATGGTAGCATATAGTCACAAAAACTTATGACGTAACATACTGTCTCAAATATGGCGTGGATGCGACATAAGCATTCACGCACGCTGCGCCGCGTGGACGCAATTGCCTTGGCCTTTTTCCTTGCGTTGCTTGCTACGGACCTGTGTTGTGAGATGGCATGTGTGACTGCGTGTGGAGGGCTCCGTTAGGTAAATGTCCTGTGCTGTTTGGTGTTCAGTAAATGTTTCGAACACTCTGTAGTGTTTTCTACCCGTTACATAAGGATACGTGTGCAGGGACAGCGAACGCCGAAGAGCACGCATCATTGGTGCGGTGAACCTCGCATGTGCGGTCGATAAGTTCAGACCAGGTTAAAGTGCACTGATTGTTGGCTCATTATTGCATGAAATGTGCTTACGAGTGCTGTTTGCCTAAAACCACCATAACATTTTCATGAATCCCTGAAATAGTGGCTCTCTAGATGGTGGATGGTTCTCCTTGGATGGTGGATTTTATGGTGAATGTGCACCAGGCTATGGGGGCACAGAATTGCAGTGCACATGCACTTGAATGGATGGATTTCTGGGATCAGTGCTCATGCTAAGCAGTGTCTGTTGTGTGAGCCTGGACCCCTACCATTTGATCATGTGATTCTAGGCAATAGCAGAATGTGGTGGTGAAAGGTTAACATACTGTGATGCTCTGCATGGTCTGTCACTGACCCTTAGCATGACCAGTGTCACTGGCCACAGGTCATACCTGTCAAGGTCAAGCAGCAAGTGCCTAAACCAACTCATACCCACCCTGCCACATGTTGGATTCATGAAACTGTCTGTATTGCATTTATAGGTAGGCTGTCAGCAGCTAACTTGTTCTCATGTCAACACTCATTTAACAGAAGTGGCTGAAGATAAATATGGATGGGAAAATGTATTGTTTTTTCAGCTTTGGATGAACACAAGCTCACATCAGGGGTGGTAAAAAAACCTGAAGGTTTTCTGTAATGGTTTCTTAACCTCATTGCATAGCCATGCCAAATGTTGCATAGCTGTCAACAATTGAATAGCAGATCATTTTGCATCACAAATTTAGATGTACCTTGTGAGGTTGCTGAGCTACTGCAGGTCAAAGTCAGGCCATGGATCCAGTGAAGTCAATTTCTAGAGAAGCCTTCAATCTGATGCAACAATGGAATGTTAGATGAAGCTATACATCTCTGAGATACTCTCTTAGACAACATGACATTTGGATGGATGGAGCCATACATTTCTGAGGTACTCTCTGAGACAACATAATGATTGGATGAATTAATTCAGTTGACCTAGGATTAGGTATAAAAGTCAGACCAAGGTCAAAACCAACCTGTTTTATTTCTGTAGGGCGTAATGTTTGGGGTAGTTTCTGGTGCTCATTTTGAATTGATTGATAGCAGAAACCACATTTTACATCTTCCATGAACTTCTTAAAGGTCAGAGGAGTTCACTGACCTAAAATGACCCAGTTCAACATTTTGTGTTTAGGAACATATGCATAGTGAAATTTGTGTTCCTTATTCAAATGCAAACATCAAAGCAGTTTTGTATGATTAGGGTCTCCTTAACCTGCAAAGGGTCAAACAAGGTTACTGACCTTTGATGAGCATGGGACCTTTTCCTTAGAACAAGTACCTAGGTTCTGGGGGCACTCTGGAGACCAAGCTGGAGTTTGACCTTATTTGGCCTGAAGGCCATGATATATACACCTTAAAGTTTGACCTAAGGGCTAAGTGAGTTCGCATATGGGCCAACACACCTGCTTCACTTTAATGAAGTTACTGGAAGTTGTTTGTCCGCAAAGATACTACATGATGTTATATGGAATCTTTGATGTTCAGACTGCTGCAAACATGGAATATGGCAGAATATATGGTTCATGATGTCATGGATGATGGTGGTATAGATTCTTTGTCATCTGGGCTGCTGTGAACACTCTTGATATTTTGTATTTCAGGTCAGAAATAAATATAAACATGCATTCCCATCGAGCATCTAGCCTGAAACAGCAAAACAAGCAGCACAAAACTGGCAGACACAAGAGCAACCGGTCTCTGGATAACATCAGCAAAGGTGTGTTACAGGTGTTCCCATGTCTTCAATAACATTGTTTCTCTAACCACACCTTGCATGCTGTGTGGCTAACTCCACCCCTGAGTTGTGGCGATGTGTTGGTGAGGTTAGTAGAAAAGACTGCTCTAGACAGCAAACTTTCTCCTTTTAGAAAATGTGCTCATCAGGATGTCATTGTTTGATTGTATCATGAGGGGTTTGTATAACGTTGACGCACGGCCAAACAAGCCATGCGAAATTACCACAGTGGCACTCACCTGTGATACTTAATTCTTTGAGAGATGGCAGTGGCGTGCTTGAAGTGGTCACGAGCCAAATATCGTGATGTACTTGTGTTTTCGTCGTTTCTCGTGGTGTTCTTGCATATTTATCCGTGAGTTTAAAATGTTTACTTGTTTTCACATACTCAGCTATGGTGCGAAATCATGACTGAGATTTGCACAGCCTGCTCAACATAGGTTGATAGCCAATTGACGTCTACTGTACTTGGAAGTCGTGATCCTGCATGCCAGATCTGAGCGGCCGGATGACAATATTGTTACTGGCCTTGAACACCAATACTGTTACTGGCCATTGGGGTTGCAGGATTTGAATGACATTGCTATGACGTCATGCATGCCTGACTGGCTTTGAAATAGTCCGCATGAAGTTGTCTGCACATTTTCGTGGGCATGTAGCTCAGAACGTAGAAGGATGTAGCTTTTAAGACGGGCAAAGCTGTGAACTACACTGATTGATCTTCAAAATGGCTATTTTGGTTTGAACCCTGTGCAAACATGGAGCGCACCCTTCATTAGCAGCTTTCAGAGAGTGATGCGTCATGGCTGCCCACCTGACATCTCGGCAGGCAAAGTTCAGCTGAAGGCACTCACCCGACGCAAGCAGCATGACCAGAAACGGCATGAGCGGCGACTACAGGCGCGCCAGATCCGCGCCAACAAGCGCCAGGAGGCGTTGAACCGGCGGCGCGCGCTTGGCACGGCCAGCACGCCGCCATTTCTGGTGGCGCTGGTGCCGCTGCACGGCGGCGCGAGCGCGCGGGAGGCGCTGGCTCTGCTGACAGCTGCCGAAGCGGACCTGACGGTCACCCAGTCACCGCAGGGCGTCACCCACATCAGGTGAGCGGCCGCTCGGGCAGCCCTGGGGCGTGCCCTGAGCGGCGCCGACCGGGCAGCGGTGTGCCCTGAGGGCGCCGACCGGGCAGCGGTGTGCCCTGAGGGCGCCGACCGGGCAGCGGTGTGCCCTGAGGGGTGCCGACTGGGCAGCGGTGTGCCCTGAGGGGCGCCGACCGGGCAGCGGTGTGCCCTGAGGGGCGCCGACTGGGCAGCGGTGTGCCCTGAGGGGCGCCGACCGGGCAGCGGTGTGCCCTGAGGGCGCCGACTGGGCAGCGGTGTGCCCTGAGGGCGCCGACCGGGCAGCGGTGTGCCCTGAGGGGCGCCGACTGGGCAGCGGTGTGCCCTGAGGGCGCCGACTGGGCAGCGGTGTGCCCTGAGGGGCGCCGACCGGGCAGCGGTGTGCATGCACCCGGGCTGGGTCAGCCCGATCACTGATCACGATCCATGAACGAGGGGAAGGAAACGGCCAATGAAACTGTGCGGTGATTGGTTGTAACGATAATGTTTGTGGCATGCGCCGAAGAAAAAAAATGTCTGCGTGATAGACATTGGTCCGCGCGTCTTGCATGTTGACTATTTGGATGGCTGTAGCATGGCTGTGATGCCAGTAATACTGATCAGGAATGAGCGGCGTGTTGCCGGCAGGCGCCGTGCAGTGCTGTAGAGGCCGCCTGGCGACGCCGTGCAGTTCTGTAGAGGCCGCCTGGTGACGCCGTGCAGTGCCGTAGAGGCCGCCCGGTGACGCCGTGCCGTGTTGTAGAGGCCCTCGTTGACGCCATGCAGTGGTGTAGAGGCCGCCCGGTGACGCCGTGCCGTGACCCTCAGTGTGGGGCGGCTGCGGCGTCGGCTCGCCGTGATCTCGCCGCCCGGCGGTGACCTGTACGCCACGCTGGACGCGGTCAAGGTGGCCGACTGCGTGCTGTTCTTGCTGGGTCCGGACGGCGCCGACGAGGAAGGCACGCGCATCCTCTCGGCGGTGTTCGCACACGGCGTCTCCTCGACGATGCTGGCCGTGCTCGGCCTACAGCACGCCACACCCAAGGTACGCACGGGATTCAACGTTGTAAAGGAGGCGCCGTTGGCGTCCGTAACGTTATCAGAAGCGTGTTGCACTTGGGACCGTGATAATGAAACGGAGTTCAGTTAAGATCGTGATGTTAAAATGAGACCATGATTACAAAATGCGATCACGGCCGTAAGTAGTTTGAAAGTTGTATCGCTGCCACTAGTGTTTATATCTGACAGTCATCAGATATTACATGAATGTGTCAGAATACTGCAAACAATGAGGGACGTACCCCTTGGCAACGGGAGCGCCACTGTCATCTCCGTTGTATTAACGCGCTCACTCACAATATCTGCATTTTTTGCATTTTTTTCTGTGCATCGTCCAACGTGGTGACGGCCATCTCGCCCTCCCGCAGCGCCAGAGCGAGGCCAAGAAGCAGATCCAGAAGCAGCTGGAGCGCTGGTTCGGCAGCCAGGACGGCCGGCTGCACGTGCTAGCGGCGCCGTCGGACGCGTCGGCGCTGCTGCACCACGTGACCAACGGCAAGCTGCGCCCGGTCACGTTCCGGGAGCGACGGCCGCATCTGCTGGCCGAGCGGCTTCAGTTCGAGCCGGATCCCGAGCAGGTGAGCCGCCGCCGCCGCCGCCGCCGCCGGTGCTCGACTGTCAGACTGTCACGCTTTCGCCGCCGATCGGCCGGTTTATGCGCAGTTTGTGATGCTAAACGTACTTTCGTATTTGGCGTACAAAAGGAAAAGTTTTTTTCGTACTTCGTCGGTGGGCATAAAGAGGGTTGCAAGATGCTGACGTCTACACAAAACGTTGGCATCCATCCGTTGCACGTGACCTTAGTAACTATGCGTGCGTGCTGAGAAAGCCATAGACGGCTGCGGCTGAAGTTTGAGTTCACGTCTGTTTGCGGCGCGGGCTGGCACTGTCGCTGATCCCTACGCCTGTGGTGGCATCTTCTAAGCTGTCACTGTCAACCAATGGCGCTCAAGTGAGATAGAGGACATGAGGATCGTGAGGAGAGGACATGAGGACATGAGGATCCTACTGAGCCGCGCGGGCTGGACGCCCCGTGACGCCCGTGCTGACGCTGGCCGCCGCTGTGGCGACAGGCCGGCTCCGGCACGCTGACAGGTGTCCGGCTACCTGCGCGGTCGGCGCCCGCTGTCGGCCAGCCGGCTGGTGCACGTGTGCGGCTGGGGTGACTACCAGCTGTCGGAGATCACCGGACCGGCCGACCCGCACCCGCTGGCCGGCCGGTCGCGCGCCACCGCCGCTGCTGACCAGGCGATGGCCGACGCTGAGGAGCGGGTGCTGAGCCGCGCCGACCCGGCCATACAGGTCAGTGTGCCGGCTCGCACGCTGACTCGCCGACCCGGCAGTGGAAACGGACCGGTAGCGATCACGTCGGCTAAAAACAAGTAAAAATAGACCTGGAACATGCCGAGAGATTGAGCTGTCTGTAGATAGGCGTACAGCAGTCATCAGCCCGTCGCCTCGCATGTCATCGGCGTGTCGCACCTCTGGGGCTGATCCGCGCGCGCTCTGCCCGTCGCGCCTGGTTGTACCAGTCTCGGGTGAGCTGGCTTCACGCCGGCCGCCGTGTGCGGTGGTGCGCGGCGTCCCGTCGGCGCCGACAGCCGGCCCCTGCCCCGACCGCCCGCCTTGTCCGGCCGCCGGCAGGAGTCGCTGCAGGCGGAGAACATGCCCGACGAGCAGATGGACGGCGACGAGCCGTGGCCCGACGACGACGCCCTGCGCGACGCCGAGACCCTGAACCGCGTGGCGCGCCGGAAGCGGGTGCCGCGCGGCACGTCAGAGTACCAGGCCGCCTGGATCGTGGACAGCGGTGAGGCGGCGGCGGCGCACAGTGGCCGCTGGGTGGTCTGTGTCGGGCGGGCCCGCGTAGGGACGGACGGGTGGCCTGGTCCCGAAGGGCAGATCTACGAAGGTCCTTTGTGTTGTGCTAGCCCTTGTGCAGTGAAAACATGCTCAGACATATGGTTGTGCCTATCGTCCTATCCCCACAGTAGGAATGCGGGCGTGCTGGCGTTGTGGCGCTGGCTCGTGGTGTGCCTCGCTCCCGTCCACGTTCATGTCGTGTATGTTGAGGGGGCCGGCCGTGCCGGCTGGCCTGGCCCTGTTTGCGGAGCGTGACGCTTGCTCTCCCACAGACGGCGAGGCAGACCAGCCGGACGACGCCGACTCGGACGGCATGTCGTGCGACGACGCCGACGAAGCGGCAGCGCCGGCCGCTGCCGATGACGACGAGGACTCGGCGTCGGACGACGGCGACGGAGGCGCGTCGGTGGCGCCCACCGAGTCGGAGGCGGCCGTCGACGACGACAAGTACGACCGCGACATGGACCTGGACGAGGAGGCGACCACGCTGAAGAAGATCCGCGGTGAGTTGGGGCCGCGCGGACTGAGACTGGCAGAGGACTGGGTCGACTAGTGGTGGGTGTTGGTGAACTGGCGCCCCATGTCCGTGTTGGTTCCGGAAGCTCCTTTGAAGTACAGTAATTTTATGCAGTATGAGTGGTGTCGGATGCGGCAATCATGGTCAAGGAGAGAGAAAAAACACCGGCTTTTTTTAAACAAACTGGGGCTTTCTGAGGGACATGTTATTGAACTATAAGGCTCCCCTTTTAACCTCCGATCAAATGTTTCGTGAAGAGATGCTTTTATTCAAAGTGGTGTTCTGCTGATCTAGAGTTGATGGTTTGAAAAAGTATCATGCTTTTTGTGAGATCACTCACCACAAGGAACAGACAAAAATATTGTATGAAGTCTCCACGACCCTACGGTGTGAATACTCAGGCTTGCCTATTCCATGTAATTGCTACGGATGACTCGTGGCGCTACAGTGCCCTTGTATTTCTCATTGTATCGCACATCGTGCTGGAACGTCACAACAAGCCTGCTCGCTCTTCATTCGCACCGCCTTCTGCACTGCTGACTGTGGCGCTGGCCGACAGAGGCGCGCGAGGACGAGCAGTTCCCGGACGAGGTGGACACGCCCAAGGAGGTGCCGGCGCGCGTGCGTTTCCAGAAGTACCGCGGCCTGGCCTCGTTCCGCGCCTCGCCATGGGACCCCAAGGAGAACCTGCCGGCCGACTATGCACGCTGCTTCCAGTTCGCCAACTTCGAGCGCACGCGCCGCCTAGCGCTGGCCGAGGAGCCGGAGGGAGCCCAGGTGGGGCCGGCGGGGAGCCGGTGGGTGGTCGTCGAGCGCGTGTGCCGTCTGGCGCTGGCCGAGGAGCCGGAGGGAGCCCAGGTGGGGCCGGCGGGGACCCGGTGGGTGGTCGTCGAGCGCGTGTGCCGTCTGGCGTTGGCCGAGGAGCCGGAGGGAGCCCAGGTGGGGCCGGCGGGGAGCCGGTGGACGGTCGTGTCGAGCGTACGCGCCGCTTTGGTGCAGGCCGTGCCCGGTCAGCTGGATGATGACGTATGGGTCGTGTGGGTCCGGGTCCTTCCTGCACCGGCTGAGTCCGGCAGTGCGTTGTCTGACTCCCGTCCTGTGTTCCGCCAGCCGGGTCAGTACGTGTCGCTGCGGCTGCTGAACGTGCCGTCGTACCTGTGGTCGAGCCGGGACCCGGCGGCGCCGCTGGTGGTGTTCGGTCTGCTGGCGCACGAGCAGAAGATGTCGGTGCTGAACTGCGTCATCCAGCGGCACGCCAGCGGCCATCAGCGGCCGATCCGCGCCAAGGAGCGGCTCGTGTTCCACGTGGGCTTCCGCCGGTTCGCCGCCGCGCCCGTCTTCAGCCAGCACACCAACGGCGACAAGCACAAGGTGGGTGGCCGGCTGCCGCGCTGCGCCACGCCGCGCTGGAGCGGATGCGGATGCGAAACTCGGAGCTGGCGTGTTGCCTAGTCCATGCAGCCACGTAGGAGGCACGGCTCTGTGCTGGCACAGAATGCCCCGCGCGTTCGTACGGTATTCAGTTGAGGAAGTTTCGTATGTAGTCGGCGTGTTTTGGTACAGTGATGTCAGATGTCCATTGCTTCGCTGCTTGGTCGCCTTCGCGAGCATCCCAAGCACGATAGTGCGAACCGCTCTAGGTATCCTGCTGTTGGCATGCCCCGGTCGTCTCTGTGGCAATGTTTCCACTGTAAGCAGAATGTGCCGGGTCTGCGGTCCCTACTGACCGGCAGCGCCACAGAGGCGGTGCCGGGTGCTCCCCACCGGTCCGGCTGAGCGCACCACACCCCGGCAGTCTGTCTCCCGCTCGCCCTCACCCTGCACCGTCCGGCCGTGCCCGCCAGATGGAGCGCTTCTTCCGGGCGGACTCGGCCGTCGTGGCCACGATGTTCGCGCCGATCGTGTACGGGCCGGCGCCGGTGCTGGTGATGCAGGAGGACCGCGACGGCAGCCAGGTGGGATTCGCAGTCTTGTTCGTTGGTGCTCATGCTCAATAAGAAACTCGCGTGCATAAGGTGTTGTGAGGGTAATTTCTTGATCTTGCCAACACTGTCATCTTTTTTTCTGAAACAATGTTAGGTTTGTGGCTAGACAATGTCTAGTGTTCGTGGTGCTCTCCGAATAGGAGGCTCTTTTCCGTCCAAGTTAATTGATATTGCTCGCAAGGTATTGTCTGGATTCCGACAGATCAATTCTCTAAAGCTGCGTGCATTATTCAGACTCAAATTTATGTCATTCTTCATAGTCACCGCATGTGCCAACGGAAATCGTTTGTAAAAACCGAGCACGAAAGCCGCATGCTCTCATGGAAGCCGCTTTAGTACGCAGCTGCCTTTCCGAGATGCTTACGGTACGGCGTTGGTCGTATTTCACCAGCCCCGTGTCCGTCGCCAGGACCTGGTGGCCACGGGCTCCGTGCTCTCCGTCAACCCGGACCGCATCGTCACCAAGCGCGTCGTGCTCAGTGGCCACCCGTTCAAGATCAACAAGCGCTCGGCGGTGGCTAGGTGGGTATGACGGGGAACGCGCCGGTCCAGGCGGTGCGGGTAATGATACGATCGGTCGATTGCGCGCCGCAAAATGTGGTTTGCATCGTCAATGTTTTCGGTTTGGCTCATTGTGTCATTGCTATGAGTTGCAAAATGGCAAGTGATGTAGACCAGGCACATGGACGTCAGTTTTCTTCTTGGCATCCTTGCTGAAAAGCGTGCGGCCGTTTCACAGATATATGTTCTTCAACCGGGAAGACATTATGTGGTTCAAGCCCATCGAGCTGAGGACCAAGTACGGAAGACGGGGCAACATCAAGGAGCCGCTTGGTGAGTTGGCTGACTCCGGCTGTAGGGAATCATCTGGAACCACTGCCTTAGGACTGGCCCATCTCAGATGACAATTGTTAGACATTCGCATCGTGTCATGGGCTCTTGTACGTCATAGAAGTGGTGATGTATCTGTACGGATGCATATTGAAACATCCAGAGATGAGAGTCCAAAGATCCAGAAATGTCCAATGGTCAGAACCTCCAAAATCGCTGCATCCAGCGTTCATAACGTCCAAAAACCTCCAATGTCCCCTGGACAGGCGAGAATCACATCAAAGCTCGCAGCACCCAAAATTCATAGCATCCAGCGTTCGGGACGTCCAAAGGTTGGAGGACAGTGTCAGTCAAAGCCAATCAACTGAACGTCGTTGTCGATTGATGTTATGAACATCGAATGCTGTGATCTTGGACGTTGCGTACTTAGATGCTTTGAACTCCGACAGCTGACACGGAATTGGGCGCAATTTTGGTGTGGTGGACGCTCAACTTTACGACTTTTGGACGATAGCAGCACTGGACGCAAAATTTTTGACGTTTTGATGGTTCCCCATCTGCTTCTGCTGCTACACGTGGTTCTTTTGGATGCATCCGTTGATTCCTCCTCAGCGACAGCACGTATTCAGACTAATGTCCCCATATATCATGCGTACTGCTCAGCTGCACCTGCGTGAGCCTATCATGCAGCGCGTTCGCGGTCGTGCGGCTGCCCAAGTGTCCATCTTCCGTCTCTGACGACTCGCCGCTCCCCGCAGGCACGCACGGCCACATGAAGGTCGTGTTCAACGGGCCGCTCAACTCCCAGGACACCATCCTGATGATGCTGTACAAGCGGATGTTCCCCAAGTGGACGTACGACCCGTGCGTGGCCGCTCCGCCCGCCCTCTACAACCCGGAGCGGGCGGCGCCGTTGCCACCGCTGCCGGAGGAGGCCGACGATGACATGGTGGACACCTGAGCCCCGCAGCCGGCGGGTCGGTCTCGGCTCTCGCGGCGATGCTGTCAAACCAAACACGGGCGGAGAGTATGAAATATACCGTGTATTGGATGCCCCGTCGTGCAGATCGGTGCCATAACAACAGTGCTGGAGACTCCGTGCGAGCCCGTAAAACGCGTCCAAAAATATACCCGTCCGCTCGTTCCTGAGCGGACTCTGTCCGTCAAGGCACAGACAGTTATGCATATTGTAACAAACCCCAACACCCCATTCACAGCCATCACACAATCATTGGTTACCACGGGCGGAAGCCGCGAGCGTACTGCATTCCCCGGACCGGTGGGCAGCAGTGGTCGGGCGCTCCGCCGCGACCGGCTCGGACACCGCCGGGAGCGGCACAGAGCCGCGCATGCGCACCGGCCTCCATCACATGTCAGCAGACACCAGACTGGCGACAGACGCAGTAGAGAGCTCTTCATACACCGGGACACTCATCCGCAGCCGCGCGTCCGCCGGTCGGCACCGTAAGTCCGCGTATGTGGTGAAGCGTGCGAGGAGCCCGACCATCGCACATCTCCCCACATCATTTCCTCACAACAACGGGTGCAGGCTGATTATTGCCTCGCAGTACCCTGTCTTTGTTCTACTGTCACGGCGAGCCGCTGTGCGTGCGTGTCTTCAAAAAATCACGCTATAAAGCAGTCGTCCCACCGTCTGACGTCAGGCAAGAGGCTGTTCTCCATACGAGGCGTGTTTGGCACGCGGCCATGGTTGCTCAGTCACGTCGCGTAATTTTTTGGATAGTGGCGTGTCTGCCACAAGTGTTTTGGTGGGACGGATGGGCGAAATGCATGTACGGACAGTCCTAAAGAACCCGTGCAGCGCCGCAGAAAATATTGAGCGAGAGGCGCGATGTGGTGACGGCACAGGAAGCCTGCCTTATGGGCCCAGGACACGCGTAACGGGCACACGAGGTCGAGGACTGCCGGAATAATGTCCACGATGTTTCATCAGATCCAGGCAGCTTTATCCGCGCGCTACTGAAGTCGAAGAAGACGAGCACGGTACCTCTGGCTCCTACCAGGTCCAGCGGGGCGCCTGTGGGTATCCGCCGGGTCCATTAGGGTACCTCTAAAGGCCCACCAGGTCCATCAGGGCGCCTGTGGTGTCCTGTTGGGTCCATTAGGATACCTCCAGAGGCCCATCATGCTCAGCAGGGTACCTGTGGGGCCCGCCGGGTCCGTCAGGGTCCATCACGGCCCCTCTAGAAGCCCATCAGGTCCAGTAGGGCGCCTGTGGGTCCCCGCCGCGTCCGTCAGAGCACCTCTAGAGGCCCGTCAGGCCGAGCGAGGCGACGGTGGGCCCCGCCGGCTCCGTCAGAGCACCTCCTAGAGGCCCGTCAGGTCGAGCGGGGCGCCGGTGGGCCCCGCCGGCTCCGTCAGGGCACCTCTAGAGGCCCATCAGGTCGAGCAGGGTGTTGAGCTTGGCGCTGACGTAGTCGAGGTGGCGGGGCCGCAGCTGCAGCAGCAGATCGGCGGGCAGGCCCGGCCAGGCCGCAGCGGGCCGCCAGCAGGGCGCCGCACAACTGGCCGCGAACGCTGGCCCGGCCGCCCAGCAGCGTGACGGAGCTGACCAGCGGCCGCCAGCCGGGCGACTCCGGCCGGCTGCTGCGCCGCAGCACGTCCACCGCCGCCGCCAGCGCCGACAGCAGGCCACCCTCGCCGTCCACGACCGGTTCCGTGCTGCCGGCAGCACGCGCGGGCTCTCAGTGACGCACTAGCGACGTCACACTATGGACGCGTCGGCGACGGATGCGATACTTCGCTACAGCCGGCTCACCACAATACTGACGCCTTGTGGGCCGACCAGAATAGATACTCGTCGCAGGACTACGCGGTGCCACTGGCATCCTTTCACTTGTGGCGCGCGGCCCGACCTGACATGAGCAGCGTCCAGAGTACTGGTTCTCTGGTATTACCCCCCCCCCCCGCCCCCCCCCCCACACACACACATCCGTTCCCTTTCTTTATCCATTCCTCTCATGCATTTATGGAAGCATTTGGACTGACTGCTGCTTCCATCTGGCGTGCTGGTGCGACTCTTCGAAAGTATGCGACACTGCGGCACTTTTATCATACGTGACACAATGCCCACTATGCCTTCGCTGTACCGACGTCGCACGGAACGCAGCACTGCAGCCTGGCTGCAGCCACAGCACACCTGGCAGAGTGTTTCCCACCTGTCCTCGCCCGTTTCCCGAAAACAGCTGTTCAGTGCATCCCGCTCGTGCTCGTCGGTGGTGAACTTCTCTCCAAGCGCGCCAGCTGCGCTGAGCAGGTGCTCCATGTCGGCGGCCGTCTGACCGCGACCCTGCAGCAGCTGCGCCACCAGCGCCGCCAGCGTCACGCTCGCCGCCACGCACAACGGCTGCGCGTGTGTGGTCAGACAGACCCGCTGCGCGTTGCCGGCCACTTCCGACAGGTCGTGGAAGCGGGGGATGCCTGAAACGGAGCGCGCCGGCCGTCAGCGCGGACGCTGGCCACCGGTGGACTGAGCGGCCTCCCGCAGAAGGCCCTGAAAAACCAGCACAACCCTCTATCCCTGACCAAACACACAAACCATAAATCAGGTCGGCACTGCCTTCATCCAGCCCCCAGCGCGCCTGGCTCCGTCGCAGGGCTGCCTGGCGTCACTTGAGACGGCGAACCCCGCCTGGCACCGAGGCCGGCAGCCGGCCGCCGCTGTCCGGCCTGCCCTCCCGCCCGGCGCCGAGCCCGTACCGCAGACGAGCGCCAGCGGCAGGCAGCCGTCATCCGGCGGCGGCTGGTCGGGCGGCGCGCGCGCCGGGCTCAGGTTGTTGTTGGCCGAGCCGCTGGCGCGGCGCGCGGCCGCGTGCGGCGCCTCGGTGAAGCCGGCCGTGTCGATGGTGCGCACGGCCAGTAGGTCGGCGGCCGGCCGGCGCGCGTCGGCCAGCTCCGGTAGGCCGCGGTGGCGCCACCCGTGCAGCCGCTGCGCCAAGTCCAGCTCATCCAACACGCCGCCCCAGTGCAGCAGCGAGTCTAGCGCCACCAGCTGCGCAGGCCGGCGAGCAGAGCGGCGGTCAGGGCGGGGCCGGCACACAGAGCGACGGTCAGGGAGGGGCCAGCACACAGAGCGACAGTCAGAGCAGGGCCGGCACATAAACAGGCGGTCAGGGAGGGTCGGCACACAGAGCGACAGTTGAGGCTGGGTTCGGCTCGAGCTACACCATCCTAAGTCCTAGCCCACGCAAAAGGTTCGGCCTAGTACATCTGTCCTAGTCCGTCAAGGCAGAGTGGGCCACAACGCACCCAGCGCAGTTTCATCGGCACGAAAGGCGCACCATGCTGCCTACTTTCATGCAAGAACAAGAGTCACTCGGGGCCCACGTTCTGCCAGTTCCAACGCGAGCGCACATCAACAGCCGTGCGCACACACGGAGTCGAGCCTTGGCCGGCGAGCGGCGCGGTGGCGCTCACCGTCAGGTCCGTGTTGGCCGTCCAGTCGCCGTCGCGGTACCGGACGCGCAGCTCGTCGCGCACCGTGTCGGCCAGCGTGTAGTCCGGCTCGTAGTGGAAGCGGCACTGGTCGCGGCTCAGCCCCTCGGTGGCCAGGCCGAGGGCGTCTCCGAGCGCCGCGCCGAACAGCAGGCCGACCAGCGCGTCGCGCAGCCGCTCCGGCTCCAGCCGCGACGCTCCCGACGGCGGCAGCAGCGGCGTGCGCGTACGCGCTCCCGTCGCCACCGTCTGCGCCTGCAGCTGCGCGAACTGGCCGCGCGCCGGCGCGTTCTGGCGCGCGAACACGGCCGGTGGCGGAGGCGGCGCGGCGGCCGGCGGCGGCGCCGCCCGGCGCAGCTGCGCCAGCACGTTGTCCGAGCCCGCCTCGTAGATGGTGCTGAGGAACTTGTTGCCGTCGACGAGCAGGACGCGCACGGAGTCGCTGGAGCCGAGCGAGGTCGGCAGCAGGGACAGCTGGTTGTAGGAGGCGTTCAGCTTGCGCAGGCCCGGAATGAGGCCGACGTCGTCTGGCAGCTGCCTGAAGCGGTTGTGAGACACGTCCAGCACCGCCAGGCGCCGCATGTTGGTGATGTTCCTGGGCAGGGATTCGAGCAGGTTGTACGAGACGTTCAGCTCCTCCAGGTGAAAGTACAGAGCAATGCTCTCAGGCAGTTCCTTGATCCGATTGTGGCTCAGGTTCAGATGCTGCAGATGTGGCAATCGTAGGGGTAGTTCCACTGGCAGGGTACTGACCAGGTTGAATGAGGCATTCACCCGTTCATACAGTGAGACCTCATCAATCAGATCCCAGGGCAGATCTGTCAGACAACCCTCGATGTCTTCGCCACGAGTGTGCTGAAACATGACCCACACTTGTCACCAACTGATGTTGACAACATAAAATGCCATCAAGCGAGTGGGCAGAACAGCCAAAAGGAGCACTGAAATGCCTTGTACAACTAGGCAAAACAGACTTAAAGATACTTATAGAGTTTTAATATAACAGTTCCCTGGTAAAGGGCAAATTCTGAACTTAAAGGACCTGATCTTTAAATTGCCATGCTGTTGGGGGAATAGACTATGTTACCCTGTCTAACCTTTCTCCTGGTATGCCTGTAGGCACATCCCTGAAGAGTTATGCTCATATGTATATAGTTATTATCAGGCACTTCTCATCAAGTCAGTTTTGGGTAGCTATATCAATCAACAGAGTATGCTTCATTTCAATTGGAAACAGCACAGCAGGGTGGGAAATATTAGACAACTCAGGCAAATCATGGGATGTATAATGCCCTGTGTGATAAGACACAATAAACATATGCTTCTTATACTAATCAATACAACTAATCTTGTCACTGATAAATGTTTACTCAGTAAGGCTAGTTACAATAAAGCACTTACCTTAACATATTGGGTATGTGTTAACTTCTTGCTTATATCAAGTTCTCTCTTGTTTGCCAAGGATTGCATTAACACATCTTGATCTTGACTCTGGCTATTACCCATGTCTGGCCTCACCAGCTTACAACTAAAGAATGTTTCACAGAGCAAATGATCATGGAACAGAATAGAGAGCCAAAAATCTGGAAAACCAGTCCTCAGTCAATACAGTATTTCAAGGCCTTATTTAAACTAGCATTAAGCATGTCAACTGATTGTGGCAAATGACATTTTGGTGCTCAGTTAGACCAAGATGAAAGGTCAGGTTTATATCTAATCAGGCAGGCCATACATCCAGACTTTCTATGTGCAAAAGTATGGTGCCAGCTATATTTTGATGCACAAAAAAATCCCACAGTGCAAGAGTGTCAACTGCCAACTGGCTGGATAAGCCTGGAGATACATCTAAGGGCTTTTAATGCTAAAAAGGAATTGAGTGTCTTGAAACCTTAATGTTTCTTAATGTAAATTTTTGATTGATTTACAGGCAAAAAGGCTTTCTGAGTGCATATCATTGAAATTGTCTTTGCAGCATTATGATTCCTTCAACACTGGCTATCTATGCCCTTAAATTTGGGACAACCATGTGTTAAATTATGAGTGCACATATATATAGCAATTCATATTTATAATGTGCATGTAATGAAATTAGTGCAGTGGTGGTGCTGCTTTGCCAGACATGCTTGGCTTTATATGTATTTTTGTAGCAGGGTGTGTGGACATGCACACATGCACAACCACCATGATCCAGTGACTGGGATCAGCCTCCTTCAATCAATTATGTCTCTGACAGTCTCAAACCTCAGGCACAAATAAACTATGACACTGAAAACTCACATGACTTGTGCTGCCACAACAACCTGACAACATTAAAGCAGTCTCACTCCAAAGTGTGCCAAAGCTCATGACATGCAACAACATATGATGATACACCCACTTTCTTCCACAAACTATTATTCTTAATGCCTTAGCCCAGAACCACAGGTGTAGTTCTCCTAAGTTTAGGAGTGGGAAAAATTTGGAAAAACCTGTTTACTAATATACTTTGCAGGCAAATTTCACTATTTCTTATGGTTTTTCTGCCCCAGTTTATTTGCAAAACTACACTCCTTCTCATAATTATCCACAGCAACTTAAAGCTGGAGGACTGGGACTAGCTTACAAGCTGTCAACTGATTGCTGCCTTCTGGTCAAACTTATGTTTCCTTCCCATTAGATATACTGAAGTGTTGATCAAAAATGATGATGCATCTTTATATAACACAAAACATATTTTATTGCAGACTTCATTGATTTGTTTTCATAGGTTCTGAGTGTCTGAGATGGTTTTCAAAGCATGCAGTTCACAGCTAATTTCCAAGCACAAAGTGTTCCGAGTGTCATTGCAGCACAACGACACAAACACACGAGTCTCCAATTTCAAACCCTCTGTTATCAGACAACCTACATCGTAGGTGAAGGAAAGTTCCAAATCACACCTAAAGTCATGGACATGCCCGCATTACATCCCGAAATCATCTGTCCACTTTTACCTCTGATCAAATCATGTTACAAAGCGTTTGACGTGGTCGTGAGTCAACTAGGTCAGATCTTTTTAAATGACGAAAGGCCTCACATATCACACCTTACTTCGGTGCGTGCTGTCTCCTAACAGTGCCTTCAACAGGGCTCTCCCCTACAGCCACTTTTGCTTCAGGCACTTCGTGCGAGCCATTTTCGCAGGTATTTTCGTTACGCGCACTATTGCCTTTCTTGCGTCATTACTGTCAGTTTTTTCGCTGCCATATCATCCTTTCTTCATGAAAGCTTTTGCGAGCAACCCGTCTTACTGATTTTCTGGTTCATGGGACATATCCACGCCTCAGAAATGTTTAATCGTTTATTATCACTTAAACATACTCAAGGAAACATGGAGGTTTGACTTTCCCCAAGTTTGCAACAGATGCATGTTTACATTCAGACCGCTGTTTGTTCAGAAACTTACAGCACGCAACCACATACAGCCCCTCCCAAGTCCTTAATATGATAAGTGGAGTTATAGCTGGTTCCAGGTCATATTATTCAAAACTGACTCGCTTGATATCCAAGGAAAACAAGAGGTGTGGAAACCGAGCAATAGTGTAGGAACAAATATTGTTCTTGAAATGAGGAGCACAAGAGTTCAGACTGGTAAGACCTATTTTGGAACTCGAAGCGGGTTAAAGCCATAAATATCGATCTGAATATAGCTAACGAAATCGTTGACAGTTTGACGAACGTAAAGGTTCATTTAACGCAAGATCTTCACGCTACTTTCGTGTGTATGCATTTTGGCGCATCTGTTACATTCCTCATTTCCAGCCGGTGTTTGTACCGCCCTGCGCATATCAATATAGAGCCCGATGCGATAGAGGGTAGTCATCAACAGTCCGGGTTATCATTTGCGGACTTGAACCCCAGTTCTGTTGTGATTTTACGCAAAATAACGGGTTGATTGATTGTAAAGGTGGGTAGCTACATTAAGTTTCAGTTGGCTGCAGTGGTATCGACTTGCAATATTTGGTAAGGCCCCAGACCCCGGTCCCGGGCCGCAAAAAAACACGTTGCGCTGAACATGTCTGGCTTAGCAGTTACATCAACAACAATTTTAGACATGGTAGGTGCGTAATAAATACAAGGGATGAGATATTGGCACACAGTCACCGCCAATCATCATCAATGCATAAAGATCCAATGTTTTAGGAATTATGATGTTGCAATAGCAGTAGCAGGCAAAAATGCTCACTTTTTCACACTCACTCAAAAACACTCAACATTTTTCGCCGAAAAATTATTTTAAGATTCAGCATAATTCGGCCTGACCTGAGTTGGCCACACATAAGCAAAAGGTTCAGCATATTAATGTCTTGTAGCCATCCAGTGGTGTGGAAGGATCTTTTGCAGACAGGCCTTAGTCCCTTCCATGCTGAGCTGGTACCTTCTTTGAGTCCCTCTACAATATGGTTAGAGGCCTGTACATTTTATGCTGTAACTTCTTTGTAGACATCACAAAAATTTTGGAAAGTTTATTAGTACTGAAACCCAAAGTTTACAAGTTAAGGGCTATTTGACAAATGGTGCTAAAGGTTAATATATAACTTATGTTATTTGAAATAAACAGGGCTTAATCTGTTTAACAGCACAATTTTTATGGGAGGATGGGTCACCAGATCCTCAGCTTGACCCCCTCCCCCCAAGCATTGTCCTGCAGGTGGGCAATGAGACCATGTGCTCTCTTATACATTGTTGATACATATCATGTAATTTGGTATATTCCATCATGCTCCTGATGTCCTGCCTCCTGAAATGCACTTGTGTCCCTGGAAACAGAAATAGAATATGCTGGAGTCCTGGCATTGTTTCATTACCAATAATTAAATGTCTGACATATGTTTGCTTATCTGCCAAACCAGGGAATGCCAGCCGATGTTGGGCATGCTACTCTTTAAGTAGGTGTTGCTTACTTTGAAGGTTAAAAAAGGGCTCCAACCCAAGGATTTTCTTTAAAAAGTCCTTTGATAACCACATTGATGCAGGCATCATGCTTCAAAGTAGATAAATGACTATCACTGGGGTGTAGCAAAGGAAACCCCTCACCCTGTTCTGCCAGCATTTTTGTTCACCATAGATGGCTCCAAATAGGATAGTAAAAATTGATATGATATGTTCTCATTGAGTTCCACCCCAGGCCATTAAACAAATTACCATTGTCCCTGCCTTAAGCCTGACTAGCACTATTCTGCCTGATATTGGAGGGTTGTAGGCTGAAAGTTGAAGATTAGAAGAGTTGGGTGCACAGACTTCTGGCATTCACCTGTCATCAGGTGGGTAGAGAGGAGAAGGAGGAAAAAGGAATGGCTATCCTATGCTAAACCTGTCACAGCAGGCATTGCACTGCTAGGCAGCTAGTGGTACAATGGCATCAGGGACAGTGGTAGGAAAGCTGTGTTTCCTCTTTTCCTCTTTTGTTTTTCCTCTTCCCACTGGGTATTGGTGAAAGCTGAAAAACTGTACCCCCCAACTCTTATTCTGATCTTTATTGACGTGCCTACAAGACCCTAACAGTAAACAAATCAGCACTGTTAGGGTTTGGGTCATTGGTCCTGTCTCAGTTTTTTAGGACTGTATGTCTGCAGTGGCATTACCTCTCCAAGGAGTGGTGTTGGGCTGTTTGAGGAGCTTAGGAGGGCAAAACAATATTGTATTGACTCAGCTTTAAATTTATCTATGCGTTTTAACGAATGTTTGTTCCCCTTTAGTGGCATGTCAGCTGTTACCTGTGTCCTCGGAGGACGACGGGCTGCGTACGTGGCACCCAGACCAAGTTCTCACGTATCTGGGCGCTCCTGTCGAGACTCCGTACGCATGTGTGCTCTTAAACAGGCCAGTAAGTGGCAGAGAAGAGCAGGCTCTCCGCCTGTGGAACGGCGCCAGCCTGCGCGTCGCCGTAGATGGCGGCACAAACGTGCTCAGGGCTCTGGTGCAGAGTGAGGACGCACGAAAACAGCCGCGGCCCGCACTGCCGGACGTCATCACCGGGGACTTCGACTCGATCACGGAAGAGACGAGGCATTTCTTCGAGCAGTGCGAGTTCGTCCACACGCCGGACCAGGACGAGACGGACTTCACCAAGGCGCTGCGCGTGGTGGCGGAGCGCGCCGGCGGCGTGCGGTGGGTCATGGCCGTGGTCGACACCAGCGGCCGGCTGGACCAGATCATGGCCAACGTCAACACGCTGTTCACGGCGGCCCGGCTGCTGTCCGTGCCCGTGTTCCAGGTGGCATGCGACTCGCTGTCGTGGCTGCTGGCGGCCGGCCGGCACGTGATCCGCCTGCCGGCCGAGTTGCGCCGCTCCTGGTGCTCGCTGGTGCCGGTCGGCGGCCCCGCCACCGACGTCTCCACCAGCGGCCTCCAGTGGAACCTGGCCGGCGACGACATGCGCTTCGGCCAGCTGATCAGCACGTCCAACCGGCCGGTGGCCGACACGGTCACCGTCACCACGTCTCACCCGCTGCTCTTCTCCATGGAGATCCCCTGATTGGAGAGCTGGCACTGCGCAGACACCAAATGCAGTGGTGCCGATGCGTTAGACCTATGTAGATTCCGATTGTATGTGGTACTGGTACGTTAGGCGCTTGCCTGTGTTGCCCATACGTGATTAAGGGTATTGTGATTTATCGAACTTTGCCTCGTAGACTGGTACCGGGACAGATCGACTCTGCCGCCTTTTAGGCAAGTTCCATATTTATTCTTGTAGCATACGATGCCGAGAGTTAATGTCTTCCGACGGTTTTGCACGTGTGATATAGAGTATGGCGAAGTAGCTGGGCCATCGTGGGTTATCTTGCCAGCGGACTCGCGTAAGTCCCTTCATGAAACTTATTTCTGACATTTTCCTTAGAGACTGCTGTCTTCCCCCAGTTGTAGCCCGTGATGCTATGATAAATACGTGAGGTATCTTGGTTAACCTGAGCCAGGTGCGACGCGGACATGATTTCATCTTCTAGCTTAACCTTCCATGTAAATGTTTTGAAGGAATGGAACATACGTTGTGCGTTTACCATTGCAGCACGGTATGTTGATCTGCGCAGAATGTAGAAAGGTACCGGTGTAGTTGGCAGAACGGTGATACCACAGTTTTCTATAAGCATTTATGTATCTCCAACGCGCGATTTGCCCACCATTCGGGGCCAAAATAATTGTTCCATGCAGGCTCCTACAGCAGTGCAATGTCGCATGTGCATGAGTAGCGTTTAGCGTTATTTTGTGCGTTGTTCCGTGGCTTATTGCTGACCGTATGTATATTCCGCTGATACCTTTAGAGAACTGGATCGATTTTGTTCTAAAACGCCGAACGCAACGAAGCGCATCCCTCGTGTGCTTAGACCGAACTTGTAGGCACCACGTACTCGATAATTTAGGCTGACTTAGAAACTTTGGAACCGCGCTCGGCGTCGCTGGTTATTTCCCACACTTGTTGGTGCAGCGCGATTCGCTATGAATCTAGTCACAACGTCGATCAACTACCGTGCAAATCGTTACCCCAATACCGGCTCGTAGTGATGATTGCAAATATTTGAAACTGGGGGTACCGTGTTTTCTCCGTAAGCAGGTGGCGTTCGGTAACGTTTACCTGCAAATCATTGCCTGTTAAATAAACAGTTATCGCCCTGTCGGCGTGCGTTTGCTGTGGGTGCACTACTTTACCTGGGTGCAGTAGTCTGAAATTTGGCTGCTTAGGTTTTAATCGGAGAGAGGTGGTCATCCGTCTGCGGTTAGGTGTCGCCGTGTACCCGGCGAATTCGTTATAGGTGGCGCTTTGGGTGCTGCGCAGAGGCTCGGTGTTTAGTATCCACACGTCATCTCCCTGTAAGGGGTAGGTCGCAGGGCTACAATAGCTGAAGTACCTCATGCTTAATGATAGAGCTCGGCTGTTTTGTCGGCACATACAATTGCAGGGTAAAGCAGTGAGATCCCAGCTAACAGGTGCAGCTCTTGCAGTGTGGGAGGCCCCTGCCACTTCAAAGCGGCACTCAGTGTCGCGTTCTCGTTGCACCGGCCGACCTTCTCGCCGAAGGTCGAATGGGATGTTAAGGCCAACGGACATGATCTTTCGCTGATGTTCTCCCGTTGACCTAGTTGGTGGATTCTCGAATAACTGTCATTCGCCAAAGCCCGTGCTTCCTTCCCCGTGAACATCCTACTCCGGATCTGCTCGTGCTCTGGCGCCTACTTATGCTGACAAGCCCCACCCACCGACCGCGGGCTGACCGACTGTGACATCCTGGACCCTAACACCCGCTGCGTGGAGGAGATAAACCAAAGTGCTCTGGCTGTGATGATCCACTGACAGTTCGCCATTGGGTCATGCCCGTCCTTCAACAACTAACGTCTGCGTTATTTCCACGCTGCGTTCCAACGCTACGTGGCCGTGACGCGTTGGGTAATGACCCGCGCGCGATTGAGGTAGGCAACCTTTTCGTATTTTCTCAGGATGTTAGTGTTTTCCGCAGTATGTTCTCAACGTTAAGTGAGACCTTGTTACGGGTACAAAATAAGCGTGACAGTCGACGCGCCCTAAAACCCCAATCAACGGCATCATCAACCCTCGCTCACTCGTCTCATTTTCCGCCAGACGTTTCCAACAGTTCCAGCAGTTGATTGGCAATGTGTTCAGCGTGTTTCTATCGCCGATGGCGGCGAGCCGTTGGGACTCAGAGGCGGCCGCCGCCGGCTCCGGGTCGGGGCCGACGAGCCGAGCGGCGCCGGGGCGTTGGCGGAGGAGCTGGCGGCTGGTGGCGCGTGGACTGAGGACTGGCGCGTCGACAAAGACAGCCGTCGGAGCGTCAGTAGGGACAGTGTGAAATGACGCGGTTCCACGAGCGGGACTTTTCAATGTTATGAGGAATGTAAAAGTGGGATTCTAGGCCATTGCTGTTTACGTTGGGCACTTATATACGTAATTTCCAAAGTATTGAGCGTTTTAAATCTTTCAAACACCTACGCCGTCGAGAGCGACTCAGAGGAGGATTAGTGGGGCGTCGACAGTGACTCGGAGGAGGGTTGGTGGGGCGTCGACAGCGACTCAGGGGATGATTGGTGGGGCGTCGACAGCGACTCAGGGGATGATTGGTGGGGGGTCGGCAGCGACTCAGAGGATTAGTGGGGCGCTGACAGCGACTCAGAAGAGCGTTGGTGGAACGTCGATAGCGACTCAGAGGAGGGTTGGTGGGACGTCGACAGCGGCTCAGAGGATTGGTGGGACGTCGACAGCGACTCAGAGTAGGATTGGTAGGACGTTGACAGCGACTCAGAAGAGGATCGGTGGGGCGTCGACAAAGGCGGCAGGGGGACTTGGGGCGCGGCGACACAGTGATGGCAAAAGAACTGAATGAGCGTCAGTAACGCAGGCAGAGAGCTGAACCGGATAAACTTCGCCAGTGACGGCGACATTACTGGTGAAACGTCGGCGGTGCGGCAGGGAGGCCCACGGAGTGCCGACAGTGAGAGACGGTTGGCAAAACAGCTGGCGGCGAGTTGACGGCATCGACGGAGATCCGCGGCCGCGACATGGGGAGGGGACGTCGCCGAGTGCAGAGCCTGTTTGCAGCCTCACGTACCGCCCGGCGTGATGCATGACAATGCCGCTGAGTTATGCGGCGCGGCCGGACGCGACGCGCACCGCCGGCGCCACGAAGACCATCGTTTAGACGGCTCTGTCTCGCCGTCCACCCGTCGGCCGCCTTCCGCGAATCCGCTGGCCGGCCCCCGCCCACCGCCCGCCGGCAATCCGTCTCCGCTTGCGGCGGCCGGCCGCGTCCCGCCGGCGCCCGCCTGACTTTCGACGTCCGACGAATTCAGGACCGCCGACCGCACGCGGGCATGGAGAGTCGGGCGCCTGGGGGACTGGTGCTGGGTCTGTCTGCTGCGAGTCGTGGAATGAGGCGTACCTGTATTCCATAGGTGAACTGGTCCCGCGGGTTGGAGCGATAAGGCAGCCGGCTGATTCTAGCCCCCGAGGATAGACTCCCGCCAAACTGGCGACATTGGCCTGTGTAGGTCTTGTAACTTCATTCGAACAATGGCCTCTTGCTGATTTTAGCTTTGTTAAACTACCCACTCGGGTAGTGTTGGAAGAAATGATATGCGGTTGTATGTTTGTATATTGAATATTTGCGTGATGTGATAGATGTAGGCAAGAGTTGCTCCGTTCAACCTACGATTGCCGATAAGCATTACGGTTAACATCCGTTTAACCTGTGTTTGCTGAGGCAAAGAAACACTCTTAACTCCTCTAAACTGTTATAAACTCGCGTTTTGACTTGCAGTGGCCTGCTGGAGACGGCCATTTAATACGGATGTGTGACTTTGAATGCTTCAAAGTCGCAGCGCGCCGATTCTGGATCGAACGGCTGACATTTCGGGCTTTTGTGTTGAAAACATCGGACCTTCAGCATACCACCGAGCCCAGGTTAGAACGAGGTGTCAAGAAATCACCTTCAAATATATTCAAGTGTATATATATATATATATATATATATATATATATATATATATTCGCTCGCAGTTCTCAACACCAACTGTGTTAAGAAACGCGTCGCCTGCCTAGGTTTAGAGACGGGCGGTGTGCAGGCAACGCCATGGCAACACAACACATCTGTTGAAGCCATCATAAAATAAGGCTTTGAGCAAACTAGTACGCATTCAGCGTGGCAGCCCGCGTCTTCTCGCTGTGACAAACGCTCGAATGCCAGCGCATGTCGTGTGCACAGCTCGTATACATGCGTCGAGATGAGCGTCCTATGACAAATTAAAACACTGCCGATAAATTACGCGTTTTTCACCGACGCAACTTTCACAGAATTGATCAACCACTGTCGTGAAATGCTCCTCATTTTATCAAGGCCCTGACGTAATCTCAGCAATCCCTGGCTTGCCAATGTTGCTACGAGAGGCCCAAAGTCGTGCTTGGTGGGCGTCATGGGTGACGCACGCTTTTGAAACTCATACCGAATCTAAATTAATACATTTTCATATTGGTGTGAAAAGTCCGCTGGGCAGCTCACTTCGTCATACCCTCAGAAAGCGGCGATATGTATCGGATGACAACCATACATACACGAATACATACTTGCATGCATACATACACATATACATGCATGCAAACATACATGCATACATACATAGACACAAATACATGAATATATATATATATATATATATATATATATATATGCATATAAGCAAACATGCATAATGTGCATACATATACGCATACATGCATACATACATGCATGCTTACATGCATATATATATATATATATATATATATATATATATATATATATATATATATATATATGTGTGTGTGTGTGTGTGTGTGTGTGTGTGTGGTGTGTGTGTGTGTGTGTGTGTGTGTGTGTGTGTGTGTGTGTGTGTGTGTGTGTGTGCGTGTGTGTGTGTGTGTGTGTGTGTGTGCGTGTGTGTGTGTGTGTGTGTGTTTGCTGACTCAGCGTTGACGATCTTTTTGATGCATCGTTCTAGTTTCCAGGCCTTTGACTTGGCATCATCGCTTAGATTAAAGATGGTTCGCACAATATTGCTCATATATTCATTGTTTCTTACATTCTAGGATCTCGGAACGTTAGAATGTAAGGAGCGATGAATAAATGAGCAATTTTGTGCGAACCATCTTTAATCTAAGCGATGATGTCAAGTCAAAGGCCCGGAAACTAGAACGATGCTTCAAAAAACTCGTCAACGCTGAGTCAGCAGTTTTTTTAATCAAACATGCATAAAAAGAATTCTGCCAAAATATTCCAACATATATATATATATATATATATATATATATATATATATAAATTCTGCCTACAGATAGCAAGCAGAAGCTACTTGATTTTCCAGCTAAATCGACAACGGAGGCAAGAAGAAGATCTATAACGTCATGTTAACGCACCCAAACCAGCCAGAGCACTTGTTGAATAAGAATCACTTGTAGAACACGATTGAGCACAGGCGCGTCGAGATGTGTTTCGAGTTGGGAAGACTTTCCCAGCGGTCAATGGGGAAAAACCACGAAATCAGACTCGGGAGACCCTTTTCTGCATTGCATCGGCAGGTCATGCTTGTGTTGAGGAGTCCACTTTGTTAGTCTGGGAGGCCCTCTCCCTTCCTATGGGGCACAATCTCAAGGGCAGCTGATGTCATCGCAATATTTCCTAGCAGATGTAGGGCGTGCAGTTTTCTCAGCTGTCACACTGTTATCTTGCCCATGCAAGGGCGAGGACTTGAATGCGTTTTAAGTCTGACTGGCGTGCGGAGCCGTTTTCAGAGTTACGAGATGCATTGTTGCCTGGATGTTTGTTCAATGTCAATGCTTTAGGACCAGGCTGCATTGGGTCTCAACTACTTGTAAATCACAATCAGGTAGTCCAAATTTAACTCAGCACTTCCCCCAATGACAGCGGTGTTGTCATAAGGCATTGTTCAGCGCCGACCTATGCAGAAACCCAGAACCAGCCAGAGTCGCCTCCTCCGGACCAATGCAGTCAGCACTAAGGTCTCAAAAGGACTGAATACACGCTTATTCAGCCTTTGCTTAAGCAATCACAACGGAGTGAATCGAGTTCACTTTAAGGACCGTCTTGCCATCAATTCAACAAGATTATTTTC